TTGAGTGGCAAATCTAGTCTTTTCACACTATGATGGTATCTATCATCTGGCTTCAAACTATACTTTAAGGTTAGCTACGTAATGCATATGATTCTTGTGGCTAACAGTATGCTTTCGCCCTGTTTTTAAGCATGCAGAAGGCAGACCTTTATTGTGGCTTGTTAGGTATTCTCACTGTATTGAAGCTACATTTTAAGTTTGAAGTATGAGGAGAAAATACAGTTCTGCTTCTAAAAATGCTGTTGGCCAAAATCAGTCAGAAAGTTATTTTTTATGACAATGTCGACTTTTGTATTCTAACTGCAATATCAATGTCAGAATAATTTAAGGAATGGTATTTTGAAAACAGAGTTAAGAAATACTAAAAAAATCCAAAGAAATAGCAGACAAATTCCTCTCCCTACCCTGAATGTAAATTAAGTTACTCGTTACAGATTTGTAAGTTTCGAAAACCTAATACTTTTATCTTTTTCTTCTATTTTCAGTTGACAATATTTGTCAGCTGACTCATTTCGAAGTTCTAGTGAGTTATTTGTTTTTAAGGTAGCACTTTGTTGTCAGACATGCTTCCAAAGACTTAGTGGCCCCAATTACAAATGTATGCACTTAAACTAACATCTGCATAGTTGAAAGTTTGAACATAAGAGCCAAATATAGGGTGTTCTTTTTTGGATGGAGGAACAAAAGATTATTTAGAATAGACTTATTCTGCCTTATAAAATGATAATCTAAAAGGTGTATTTGCCAAAATTTGCAAATAAAAACTGGTGTCCTAGTGAATCTGGAGTGCAGCACTGGTGACTTGGCACTGGGAGAGACCCCTGTGGTACTTGACACTGTCAAAGAATTGCAGATATTTTGTACCTGTGTTCTTGGGAGTTCCTGTTGCTCATTTGCTGAGATACAACCCACACAGGGATAAATTGTATCTCAAATGATACTTCTTTAAAACAACAACAACAAACAAGTATATTTGAATGCTGCCTATTTAATTTTAGATTTGTCCATTGTTTTGCTCCCTTAAGTACCTATTGAAACAGCCAAAGTCTAACATTTTACATGACACAAAGGAGGCATTATCCTTGTTCCAGGTTTGCTGAAGACGAGGGGAGTTATAAAGAAGTTCTTAACACTGCAGATCTTGTCATTTTATCCCAGATTTGGTTTTAATGAGGTCTTTTTAGGAGTTTCTCATGCTGTAATCCATATAGAAACTCCTGTGTAGATAAAATGTGTGAGAACCTTGGGACATAGAAGGAAGTACTACAAATAGAATGATTATATGCTTTTATGTAATTTAATCCAAAGGTGCATTACAATATGATAATGGGAGAGTCTTGTGACATAGAATGGTCATTCTGAACGTTGATTTCTTAAGGAGATTTTTTACTGCTTTTTAGTTTGACAGTATTGACCAATATCTGGAATTAAAGTTTGGAGGGAAGGAATATAGAACCACAGAACCATTAAGGTTGGAAAAGGCCTCCAAGATCATCCGGTCCAACCAACCCCTGCCACCACTGTCACCCACTAACCCTTGTCCCCAAGCACCACATCCAGCCTCTCCTTGGACACCCCCACGGATGGTGACTCCACCACCTCCCCGGGCAACCCGTCCCAGTGCCTGACTGCTCTCTCTGAGCAGAAATGTCTCCTCATTGCCAGCCTGAACCTCCCCTGGCACAACTTGAGGCCATTCCCTCTAGTCCTAGCACTAGCTATCTGCAAGAAGAAGCCGACCCCCAGCTCCCCACACCTTCCTTTCAGGTAGTTGCAGAGAGCAATGAGGTCTCCCCTGAGCCTCCTCTTCTGCAGATCAAACACCCCCAGCTCCCTCAGCCGCTCCTCACAGGCCTCGTGCTCCAGGCCCTGCACCAGCTTCGTAGCCCTGCTCTGGGCACACTCCAGGGCCTCGATGTCCTTCTTGTAATGAGGGGCCCTAAACTGAACACAGCACTAGAGGTGAAGCCTCACCAAAGCTGCGTACAGGCAGACAATCACCTCCCTGGTCCTGCTGGATACCCTATTCCTGATACAAGCCAGGATGCTGTTGGCCTTCTTGGCCACCTGGGCATGCTACTTGCTCATGTTCAGGCGAGTGTCAACCAACAACCAATTAAAATATAAATTTATAGTTCCTACTGTAGGACAGGAACTTTTATGTACAAAACTCCTTTCTTGAAATTTTTGTTTTAGTGTCCTTTAGGTTGAAACAGAAGCAACAGTAGGGCAGTTACGGGCTGTTGTTCACATTAGTATGATATGTCAGTGCTGCAAATGCCTGCTCACAAAGTTGCTTCTTAAACCTAAAATCTTAATTAGTTTTATTTACTGTAAAGCTCTCAAAGGTTTTCTTTTTATATTTGCTGAAGAAAGTTGTTCATCAAATGATTCGTTTTTTAAAATAAATAGTAGTTGATCTGTATAGCAGTATTTTAATAGCATACAAAAAAAAACCCACACACTTTTCTTTAATTTTATCCTGAATTCATTTATTAAAATTCACTTCAAGTGGAACAAAACTAGAATTTCCTTTTTAAAGGAAGCTGACTTGTGCATAGTAATGAAAGCTTGCTGAAGGCAGATTTTCTGATTTTGTAAGAGGGTCTAAAAATCAGGTCTTTACTAAAATAAAAACTTTCCCACACAGAAATTAATTGATAAAAAAAAAAAAAAAAAGAGAGAAAAAGTCACAGCTGTGAAACTGGACGAAAAGTCAGGGCTTCTGCCAAAGCAAGCTCAGCCCGCAGAATACTTGCAGTTGCCCCAGACCCTGCCTGGGTTTGGGGATAGTTGCAATACCAGGCTCTGGAGCTGGTCCAGGAGATAACAAGCTGGGAGCACCCCAGCAGAACTGGGAGTTGGGTTTTGAGTTTTATCTTTTCAAACAGTGCTGCCACAGAGCAGCAAACCCCAAATATTTGCATGACTGGAAACACGTAGCTCAGAAACATGGGAGTGCTGGAGTGAAAACATATCTCAGCTGTTTTCATGTTTGTGCCTTGGCGGCTTCAGAATTTTCAACTCTTCCCATTAGTAGAGGTGGGATTTGGGGGAAAGGTGGCTGGAATTTACCAGAAATTCGGATCATCGGTGTATATTTGGGATTTAATGGTTGGCATTTCTCTAAACAAAACCAGCTCCTTTCTCTCCCATTTTATTCAAATCAGACTGGTTACTTTTATGACTTCTGTCACTAAGATGTTGAAAACAAAAAAAGAGGCAACCTCGCACAAATATGGTGAAAATTTTGATAATAAGTTTTGTCCTTTTAAGTGAGGTGTATGTGGCTTTTCTTGACAGAAAGAATATTTCTCAATGGAATACCTTCTCTACAGAAGGATATATTCATGACCCATCTTATTTTCTCTAATTCTACAATGAAGTTGCAGACAGTAGAATACCGTACCCATTTTTGGGTTGAAAGGTCTGCATTTCTTGAACTGTGGGCCATATTTCTTAAGCTGTGGGTAATTTGATAATTTAGCATTATCAAACTGCTTAAACGAGGTTGCAAATTATTGGATAGCTGTGCTAACTTAACATCTGCAGATGGGAGGAACAAAGACTGCTTTTAATTGCTGGCTACTGTTTTGTTAATTTTTCCCTTGTGCTTCCTATCTTTTTTCTTTTTTTTTAATCTATAGATGAGAGATGTCTTTTTTTTTTTTTTTTTTTTTGTCATAAATTTGTAACCTGCTGTTGAGACATCCTGGCATGACGTGGTGTTAATGATAAATAAGTAGTATTGATTCTGTACTCAAGGTCGGGAGTGTACTGCTCTGTTTTCAATTACTTGTGTGTAATTCAGAAATTGTAGTTAGGAAACATTGATAATATGGTGAATTTGTCATCTGGACTTTTTTTGAGCAGGACAAAATGGTGAATAGATAGTTTAGGAGGAATTTTCTTCTTGCATGCTGCTAGTCCTGTTAATCCTCAAGTAGGAATTCAGTGATTAAGGTGGTTTTGGCAAGGGAGAGGAAGTTTCTTCACAAAAATGTCATTTGAAATGTGCATTAAATTTACCATAGTTGTCAACGACAGTTGAATTAATAGCAACGTCTTGCTGCTTGTCATCTTGATTCCTCCTCCCTTGTCCTCACAGTGTACTTGATGCTCTACTAGAAAGATCTGGAAATCTAGACAGGGCTTTAGCCAAGATGCTTGTGGTGATTGGTTTCTTTTCTAGTTTTTCAGCAGCCTTACCCTAAAGAGTGAATTAGATGATTCTTGTTCATTTCTGTCATTCAGTAAGACCTGAAAGTGATCTTATTTTTCTGTTTTAACTATAAGCTGGTGAAGGGAAATTGACACCAATGCTGAAAGGTTTGAGAAATATTTTGTTCCAGTCTTTCATAAGTGAATGTTATCTCCATCAACAAACATTGTGCATGCCTAAATTCTCTCGCTTACTTGTGCCTTCAGAAGGACATGAGATCAGCCTGAACTAAACAGCAGTGCTGAGTGAATGATCTGCATCTCTATTCCTCTTTGCTCACCTGCAGTAAACAAAACAGCTGAAATTTCAGTATTTCTGCCTCTGCTCACTCCCGTTTCTTTTCAATTTTGAGAATAACTGCTGAAATTAACCTTAAACTGTCCAAAGAAAGTGTTTCTCGCTAATTGTTGCACATGGAGTTGAAGCATCTTTTTTCTAAACTGTGTAGGACAGTCTCAAGTTCATGTTTCTGGAAACAGGTGAATGGTGACTTCTAACTGATGGGTTTATCTTCAGGTGCAATGAGTATCTGTCAGTCTGTCTGTCAGGAGAACATGCTAGCTGACTGTAGGTGTAACAAACAGAGCTCCTTAGGGAGGAGTGTGCTTGTCTCAGCAAATGTGGCTAACATCTTTAGAGTAACAATGTTTTCTAAAATATAGAATGTACAGTATTTGGAAGATGCACTTTTATGCAGTGTTTTTTTCATTACTCATGCAGAATGCTAAAACATACTTTTTGTTTTAAATAAAACCTTTTTTCCCCCCTCTTACCACAGGATAATGAGAAAAGGACCCCTTTACATGCTGCTGCCTATCTGGGAGATGCAGAAATTATTGAACTACTTATTTTGTCTGGTATGTTCCGTTCCTGTTAATGGAAAAAAAATTACCTCTATGCACATCCAAAGAAATATTTATGTACATCTTAGTTTATGTAGTTTTTACTGAGATATTTAATGTGCTAGAAACTAAAGAAACTTGTATTGAAATTTTGGTTTCCACTCTTATCAGTGTTACAATACCGTGTAGTTGTGCTTTAAAGTATTTTTGGTAGAAAGATATCTCAGTTTTATCTCTTTTTATTTGTAGCTTGATCAGCTTTAGGTAGACCAATGCTAGTTTAAAGAAGTAATAATGTATATGTTATAGGTAGATGTTAGCAGCATTGTTTTGGTCTTAAATTGGCCTTCAGAAAGGCCAAATGCATTAAAGTTGAATGCAAAAGATGGAATCCAAAGTTGGTGACAATGTTATTATTCTTAATGATCTTTTGCTGTTGGCTTAAATGCACAGAATGCAGATAGGATCAGCTGGGATTTTAAAAATTGTCTTATTTTCTATTTATTTGTACTAAGACAAACTGCAAGTTCTCTAAGACAGTTCATTTTAGTCTTTAAAAAAAAAAGGGAGGGTGGGGAGAGAACCAAGAAACCAAACCAAAACCTGAAAGCAGAAATTCATTATTGAGGTTATCTTTGATCTTGGTTATCTTTGATCTTGGACGAACGTACCCATCAGATGACTTGAGGTTAAATTCACAATATGGAACTTCTTTAAGGTTAGATAGTGGGATGAAAGTACACAATACAGGTACACAATACCTGTGCAAAGGTGGCTATTTTCCCCCGCTCCCTGCAACCTTTAACAGCAAATTTTCCCTAAAGGAAATGTCAATGTAAAGATAGAGAAGTCACTTCCAGATTTTTAATCGAAATTGCCAGGCATAATTTAATTTGTTTATAATTTACCAAAATATAGTATTTTCAGTTTATATTACATGTAATTATATATATGATTATAATTAATTATAATCATATGTACATTATGTACATCTATGTGTATTTACCATGGAAGTATTCCATAATGAATTTTTTTTTGACCATGTGAGAAAAAAATTGCCCAGAAAATTTCGACTGTGTTGCTGAGAAGGTGGGTCAGAAAAGCATACTGTTTGTCCCTGTCCAGAGGAGAGGGAAAAAAAAAAGTTCTGGTGACTCTTAAGAATATGGAGTGACCCTTTTCTTCTGAAAAGGGATCGGGGATTTGGCAAAGATTTCTTTTTGTTTGGGTTTTCACAGTAATGGGAAAAAAAAAGCCAAATTACAAACTCTGTGAAGTTGTAGTCAGCTGCTTCTGGGACTGAAGCTTCCAACTGGCTTGGGTGAACCGAGTCCAGTTCCCAGAACTGTGACTGAAAAGAAAATCCCTCTCTCCTTCTCTCAGGCAAAGGGCTAATGAAAGGAGAGACATCCTTATTCAGATACTAATGCAGCAAGACACCAATTGGTCGTAGAAGAAAGGTTAGTCATGCTATTTGGGCACGTAGCCTGGGAATAAGTGTAAGAAAAATTGGAGAACAAAGGAGGGAAGTGAAGAACCAAGAGTTAGGACTGTGCGCCTAGTCCCAAGCTGAATTGTTGCGGGGGGCTGCTGTGTCTGGAGATTGTTCAGGAAGACTGGGAGACATTAATATGTCTCAGATGAACTGTAGTTAATAAAAATCACGATTTACTTAAAGCAAAATATTACAAAGCAACATCTTAAATAGCTGTAGAGTCACAAGCTTTGAACGCTGTGGAATGTCTCTGTAATATCAGCCTCACCTGGCTGTGCTTCTGCCTTATGCTGCGGACTTGAATTACGCGTTTAGGGCTTTCTGTAGAAGCACTGCCTCATGAATTGCATGAGGAGGGGCTGCTCTGGGAATGGGTCAGGGTGGTACAGTGAAGGAGACACATACGACAGTTGTTGTTGCATTTGTAAGTGAATGAAGAGGGGCATTAACTGCAGGATGAGAGAGTGATGTCTGCATGTCAAGGCTGCTCAGTAGGAAAGGCGCTGTGCTTGGGCTTTGATCTATATATTTCCCATTTGCAATCTGGGATCTTAGGCAAGCAGCTTAAACCAGACTCTTTTTAAAAAGTAGTCGCTAATTTAGTCTTCTTCAGTTCTGAATGCGGGATTTGAGATCTTGTAGTTTGTGGAGCGTGAGTGCTTACAGCTGGATCTGAAGAACTGCACCAGCTACTTTGCTGAGAGATTGGGTCTAGGTCCCTCAGTGCACAAGCCAAGATTTTTCTTCTGACTTCCATCTCTTAATTGGAACTTAATTGGAACCACTTAACAGATCTTATTCTCTCCATTTCCTAAAGATACAGAAAATTAATCTGTTGTGATTCAGCTGGAGATCAAATCTGCCCTTGGGGACAGATTTAGGTTACATTTTGTTGTAATACATGAATGTTAAGGAGCAAATAAAGTACATCTGTTACCACAGCAGTTTGAAGAAAGTTTGCCATGTTGCAAGGCCTCTTTTTGAACAAAGAATAGGTAGTTAAATAATACCTCTGAATAGCAATCTCCTTTGTGCAGTAAATTTGGATGTAAACATTGTGTGGCTCATAATTGACCCATTGTAATACATTTGCACAGGGGATTGAATTAATTAAGCATTGTGGGCTGCTTTCATCCTGGCATTTCTCACCATGCAAGAGCTTGGCTTTGCAACTCATAACATCTTCTGAAGTAGTTTTACTGGTATGTTTAGGAACCATTTTGAAGTTATACTGCTAAGCAAGCTATCCTCAGCTTTTTCATTCTTCCTTCCAATTGATCATCAAAATTGCTGAAGTCAATATTAATCTTTCCACTACTCATTGGCTCTTATCTGACTCGTTCTCATCATCCTCTATTCTTAGTTAAAGCACGCATTGTACATTACCTAGACATAGATTTTTTAAATTTGATTGGAGTTTACTTTGTATCTCTCTCAATGGGTCCACATTACTTTCAAGTATGCATTTTGGATCATAAATTGCTGTTACAATATCTTAATAATACTTTACTGTAGACTTAAGCAACCCACGTTGTGTTTATGAAGATAGAACTCATTGAGCCTATTTGCAGGCTTCTAGGAAGTAAGCCCTCAGTCTTACAAGCATATTCATTTTGGTTTTGAATTCTTGAGTGAGTTATTTAACCACCAGCCTTCAGGGTTGCTCGGTGATCTCTCCTCTTGTAGGTTTTAGGCTGGGCAAGGATCATGAAGGTGACAGTTTGTGAACAGCAAAGAAAATTGATTTGGTGGCTCCTGTCTGGGGCTTGACATTTAGATTTTTTTGTTTGTTTGATTTTATTTATTTTTTTAATCTTGAGGCAGCGCTTCAGTGAATTTACTAATAAACTTGTCCCCTAAAGATGTGAATGTTTTACAAGCAAATTCTCCTAACACTATGGTCTCTTGAAGTCTGGATATTGAAATCATCCCTCTTCTTTAGATTGCAGCTAGTTATGTTATTAACATTACCTAAATTTGTTACATAAGGAGATGAACAGTAAATATGAGGCATAAAGATGCTTGTTTATAGAATGATGGAACAGAAGATCATATATTAGTCTCTTAAAATTTTAGAAGCATTTTTTTTATATTATGCTGTAAAGAGCCATAACATCCATCAGAGTTGTATTACTACAGTGTATAATGTGCAACTTCATGTCCTGATACAAAAGTATATCTGTTTACTTTGCTTAATTGCACTGAATTTGTCTAAATACTTGATGACAAACTACTGAGAAGTAGAAAGCAACATAATTTAGTCTTGTGTAACTGAATGTCAAGATCCAAATTTTTTTCTTTCAAAGAAGTCCTGATTAAGACTCAAACTCTTCTTTCAGCTAAGTGCTGCAGGGGACTGTTCTGATGGGGCTTATTCTGTTCTAAACTTTTTTTTTTTTTTTTCATTTGTCCCAAACTTTTTTTTAAATGCTATCAGAGTAGTTCCTGCAGGCAGGTGAGATGTGAGGAGCAGGATGGATTAGTATTAGTATGATCCCAGATTGTGTTCCCTTGATTAATAACTTTTTTTCATGTTTTCTTTAACATAACACGCAGCCTATTATTGCTTTCACTGAAATTAGCAGGCTTCATGAAAAGAAACATGAGTTATGTTGTTTACTTTCAAGTAGGATTAGTTACTATGATTGCACTGATACTTAATACTAACATAACACATTTCTGTTTGTTTAACCCCAAATTTTCACTGCATGGAGCTCAGCATACACAAATGTGTGGTCTACATCTCATTAAGGTTTGGAAGCCTCTGAGTATTTGTTGTGCTTTCTTGTGGGTCAGCTGTACCGTGTAATAATCATCCTGCTGCTGGAAAACTAGCGTTAATGTAACAACATAGACTTTGTAGGATAGCAAAGACATCCCTCCAACATTGCTCCCCTCAAGCTGGGTTTCTTTCAGCTCATTCTCAAGCCACGCAAGTGTTAAAAGTGCTACTTGCGTGCAATGGCAATCAAACAGTTGAGCTGTTGAAAGGCTATCGCTGAGAAAATATCAGTGGAATGAAGCTTCCTTTGTTTGGGTTGCAAACATCCCCATGTGCAAAGGCCTGTGGTTTCACAGGCACTCCTTTTACACTGCCTGTATCTTTTGGCCGCTTCCTCTTCCTTCCTTCAACAATGTGAGCAACAATTTTCTCTTTAGAGCCGTCCTCACTGTCCTCTGGCAGCAGTTGCTGTGTAGAAGGTAGCTGAAGGAAGCAGCTCTAACTTTTTATGAGAGAGACCAACTCTCACAGCTTACGAAAAAGTGCAAATGTTCATTAGCTCAGGGAGTCTGAGAAACTTGTGCTGCTCTTTAATGTCTGAGAGGTGGCAAAAACTGTTTAGGCAAGAGAAATTCTGGAGGATAACTTGGACTTGATTGTGCTTATCTTCCAGTATTTCTCCATGTTTTTGTCTGTTTGATTGTTTTGTAACAATAAAAATAAAAGTAGATGTTGAAGAATAATTGCGGCTGCTCAAAAGACATACCAGTCCTATCTCTCTCAATTTTTATAGATTATACTGTACAATAGATTTATACTATTATAGATCCCCTATTACACATTTAGCTTCTACATAGGTAGAAGCTGTCTCTCAAAGTCTTACTCATGATTTTGCAGCAATAATTTTCCAAGTTTCCAGTTTCTCAATAGGAAGTTAGTTCATATTTCACTAATTGTTCAAATCGTCATCTGAAGTTGTCTTCTATTTTACAAGGTTTTTTCTGCATCTCCCCTTGAATGTTCACATAATTTTCTAGCAGAGGAAAAGGTTTTTTTCATCTGTTCATTCCATTGTGACAATTTCTGCCTGCTGCTTTTAAGTATTTCCATGGTCCTAGATAACAAGTGGATCAGTCTAAAAGGAAAAAACTTGCAAAACTAATAGAAGATCTCAGGAAAATAGTTAAATAGAATTTAATCACAGTGTAAACTATTGGTTATTCTTAGTGATTTGTACCTGGGATCTTCCTAATTCTGCAAAGTTTGTTGTTACCTTTTTTAAATGTAGTCTAAGGATCTTATTTACATCTTTTACTCTTAAATAAACACGTTTTCAGAGTGTCAAATACTGAACAGTAGGTGTCTATTTTACATGCAAGTGGAAACAGTTTTGCTTTATTTGCTTATATTATGATATTGTACAATTGCCAGCACATCTTGTACAATAATAAAGGGAAATACTGTCCTTGACAGCCTAAAAATACAGACTACAAACTGGCAGAATGGTGGAAGGCAATTCAATACTTAAAGTTAGTACTGTGGGCAAAGACAGAAATGTCAGTTCCATTGTATTCCTTTTCTGAATCTATTTCCAGCTAGTGATACCTAAATGCTGTAGTACTTCTAAGGAAATCTGCAAATTGGAAGAATTCTGGTGTTGAGTAACAGGCAGGGATTGTCATGGCAAGCTAGCAATATTTCTTATGGAAGGAGAACAGAGGTGAAGTGGATAAAATATAGCTGCATACAGTTGTATGGGACTTTATGGATGAAGAGAGAGGTGTGTGACTGTTTTGTGCAGCCCAGTCAACTGTCCATTGCCTGTCTCTTCAAGAGAAGGGTTGAGATGATAGCTTCTGCTCAAGTGTAAGGGTATTGAAACCAGGGGAGTAGCAACTGCATCACAGAAACATACGTCTGGGTATTGGGGGACATACGGATGTGGCCTGATAAAAAAGTTTTCAAAAATCATTTGATAAATTGATGCATGTATTGAGTTCAATACATGTCTCTTGGAAAGTAGATTTGCTAAAGGTAAGCACGGGTGGGCTTTAGTAGCTACTGTATGACATAAATAAGGCATCTTTGTCAGTCTTGTAAGTGCAACTTTGCAAAATGAGATTTAATATTCAGGGAGGTTAAGAAGAACTTCCCTCTGCAGTTTGAAGAGCAAAAATATTCCTTTCAAATTTGCCTGGATTTATAAACTTTCTAGGTTGTACTAGTAAAGTTGTTGATGAAGGGAAGTTTTTGCTTAATCTGTCAGTCGAGTCCACCAACATGGAAGAGTATGTTGGGTTGTTTGAACGCTGCAAACTGCTGCACAAGGTGCACGAGAAGGTATTGAGAATGTGAGCGGTGCCCTGCTCGGCTCATCAGCAGGTTGAGCTTCCCAGAGATAACACAGCCCAGTAATTTATATGCATGCATGCGTTCAAATCATCTTTAACAAAAGACAATTCAGTAAAGGTGTAATGTATTTTCTAACATTTATTTGCAGTGATCTGCAGTAGAGCTTTACCTCAAATTATAAAGGATGCAAACTTCATCCCTGTGGGTATGGGTACGTTTAGGTTTCAGGGAGCTTTCTGTCTCATCTCTTTCAGATGCTCATCTGAAGGGGGAACTGAAGCATTTTCTCAAAATTATGCTGGAAGAAGTAAAAACAGCCTAGAGAGGGGACTTAGATGCAAGGTTGTTTGGAGAGGCTGTTTTATGAAATGTAAATCGTTCTTGGCAGCATGTCATCTTGGAGAAATTTAAGGGGGAACATCTCTTGATGTTGATTTAAAATACTATTTTACTTAATGTAGGTAGAGCTATGTCTCTCCTGATTCCCATAGTATTCCTACGTTAATAGTGCATACAAACGTGGTTGTTTTTTTTTTGATAGTACACCTGTTTTAATTATTTTAACTTTGCCTTTCAATCCAATGGGTTTGGAGCCCATGGGTTTTTTTGTTGTGAAGAAGCAAACTTGGTTGCTTTTTCTTAGGTGAGTGCATCAAAGAGACATGTCTTTTGTCAGAAGTGAGCTTTGTTCTTCCGTTGTCAGAGAATCTACAATTTTTTATGCATTTGAAAAGATAACTTGTTTTAGTGTTTACTTATTACATTTCTTTGATGAATATAGGATGTCCTAGACTTATGTTTAGGCTTATTTTAGGTGAAAGATCACTTATGGGGCAGGGCTGTTACTGTTTTGTGTTTTGTTCTTCTGAGGGGTCATGTTACTTTTAAACATAGGTTCAGATTTCCTTAGATGCTTCTTTAACTACCTCTGGTTTTCTTTCCTACCAGAAGCAAAACCACCTTTTGGTATTCTCTTCCTTTAGTCCTAGCAAGTCTGGTCAACTTATCACTGATAAAAGCTTTTATATGGCATCTTTTTGTATTTATTCCTGCCCTCTTCTGATGGGCTTTTTAGCCTGTTAACCTACCAAAAATATCAGTGAGCGACTTGGCTGAGCCCATAAACACATCATGGAGCCTCAGCACGTTCTCATGGAAATTAAGTAAGTGCCACTTCCTTGCAGTGGGATTGTGCTGGGTGTGGGGCTCCTCCTAGCTCAGGCTTGATCGCTTGGGTGGATCTGACTTGACCTCAGACCCTGAGAATGCATTTTCCTGAGGAAAATCAGAATGGTGATTAGTAACTCCCTTCATTCTAACTGTGTATCATACTTTGCGTTAAAACACTTCAAAGATGTTTGTATCCTAAAGTTAGAAGCAGAAAGCAATTAGAATTTAAAAGTCCTCCTTCCTTGGTTGTTGGCTGTATGTGTGAAGTTAGGTGGAGCTTGGTGCATCATTTGGGCTCGTTGTTTTGTCTGATGTGCTAAAACCAAGAAATGGCTAAAAATAACCTGGAAGACAGTCAGAAGAATTAAAGACTTCTGTCTGATATGTCATCCATTGATTATATTCTCATTTACTGATTATTCAGGTTGTCTTTTGGGAAAGATTACCAAAAATCCTAAAAAAGTCCTTGAAATTGTAACCAATAATTAGAGACCTCAGGCTCTGTCATGTACTTGGAGGAAGACCTAGGGTCAAAGTGGGAGTTTGGTTCCAAAATCAGCTGCTTTGTTGTGTTCTTAAGTCAGAAGGGGAAGGACTGACCACAAAAAACAAACTCACAGAACTGACTTCGCATCTTTGTGTTGCGTAGTACATGCAGTCATCAGTTTGTATGGACAGTTAAGTTCCTTGGTCGGGTTGTTCAGGTAACTGGGAAGGATTTCACTGTTGGTGCAGGTCTGGCAGACTTGGACCAAAATATCCCGTTTCTAAGCCGAGTATCCTTACCAGTATCCTGACCAGTAGCTTGTTTGATGCTTTGTGCCTTACAGATCTTTCATCCTTATTTATTTATTTATTATCTGTATAGAAAAAAATTAAAATTGGTTCTGAAATAGTACTATTATGGTTAGCTTGAGAAATTAATAATATCTGACCAGATAGCATTAGTGTTACTGTAGGGTATCATCCATTAATCTATGAATTATTTTTAAGAGTATTTCCAAATTACATTTGCAAACATTTAGTTTAAATTCTCATGCCTCTGTAAAATCTTCTGTTTCCAAATACAGACGGCTAAATTTCCACACGAGGTATTAAGAAATGTATAAGGCTTTGGGTACGTGTATATACACATAGAAATATAAATGCATATACATACATCATTTAAAAATTAAACGATTAAGCTTCTTGCAGTATGTAGTTAAGCTGCTTCCTTCAGGAAAAGTCCCCCACCCTTCTTTCCTTTTATTATGACAAAAATAAAAAAATCCCAAACCAGATTTGTCTCTTACAGATGTTTGTGCAACCTCTGTTCCTGTGTAGGACAGCTCTTTCTTGGGCATGCTTTTAGGATTAGAGAGGTGTGGTTGTTACAGTCTAGCTCAGGCAGGGAGGTCCTGCAGTGGGCTAGGTGCCCTGGTGGAGTGGAGAAGATGCATTCCCAAACCCCCAGTAGAAGAGGAAGCGTTATTCTACCTACCTACTGTCCTACATCATCCCACACCTGGACAGTAGACTATCCAATGGCAAGGAAACTGGAGGGTGAGGGAATAGTTGTAGCCTCTCTCTTTTTTAAAGGAGAATTTCATCTACATTGGGAAAGTGTGAGATTTTTGTTGCTGAATGAAGGCAAGGAATCTGTCTTTCTATCACAACAGTCTTTTATGTACCTTTAGAAATACAAAAGATTATAGAGGATTACCTGGTGTAAAAAGATGACTACATTTTGATGGAAGGGTATTATAGATGGAGTGTTAAAAAGAATTTTCTCAAAGAGTAGACTTCAGCTGGAGTAAAGACTTATTTTTGGGGTGTTGTGCTGTAGGCCTAGAATAAGTATCTTTCAACAGTTCTCTCCCTGTACATGAGAATATTTAACTCTTTATAATAAACACATTGTTAATTTCTGTTGTTTTCATATTTTTTGTTACAGGAGCTAGAGTTAATGCCAAAGACAGCAAATGGTTGACTCCTTTACACAGAGCTGTGGCATCTTGTAGTGAGGTATGCTTTTTTTTTTGACTGCTTTGTATTAAGATAAGACATCTCAAAGTACCTTCTGTTCTTTGTTCAGCTTTTTACAAAGTAAAACTCCTCCAAACGGTTGGAACTGCAGAACACTTGAAACAATTTGTTGAACATACTGACAGTACATATATATTTATCATATGTCTGTGTAGGAAGAAAGGAGGAAAACAATAAACTTGCAGATTTCAGCTTTGCTTTTTACTTAAATGCCATCTCCCTAGCAGAGAAGATTCTGCATGCGATGTTCTGAACTCCACTTTACCTTTTTTTTTTTTATGGTAACCAGAATGGTTCAGCATAAGGGAACTAGAGATGAAATAGGATTTAATATGGAATCTGCAGCACAATGTGCCTTTTTTTTCATGTCTTAAGAAAGAAACAAACAAAACAAATCCCAACCCTAATGAGTAATGGTAGTATTGAAAACCACTTTAGAACTTATAAATGGAATATTTATAAAGGCTTTGAAGTCTACCAGTAACACAGTTATGAGAATGTAGTGATTTAATAGTGAATTTGTTATTGTTCCTCTGTTGTTGAAGTTCTTATAAAAATTTAAATGTATGTAGAAGATCAAAACAGAGAAATGCTGTGCTTGTTATGTGGAAGAGTTTATGCAAAATTATCTCCTTTGAGATCTTGAGTCAGGCTGATGCTCACTTCAATACATCTCATAAGAAAAGGTGTTTTGGTTTGAGGGGTGTGTGCTCTTTAACATTCTGTGCACATGATTGTTTGAGAAGATGGAATTGAATATTTTGGTTTTGGCAAGCACCGAGCTTCAAGTATTCAATCCACAAACTATCTCAACAGCCCTTGTTTCAGCTTTTGCTTTAGAATTCCCTGGGTAAATTATATTCTTTTGTCACTATCATTAATAGCTAAGTTATATGGAGATGGTGTTATTCAAAACCGTGTTTGAAAATCAAGGGAGCCTTATTCACAAATGCAGTTTGTTCTTTTTGAGTTTTTTTTAGGCTTCAGTCAGCTCCCAAAGGAGCTGAAGTACCAAAACTGCGTCTCCCTCAGAGGGACAACAAAACTCATGAAATCAGTGAAGCTTGTAGAGAGGAGGGCTGCAGTCAAACTGGACCTAAATGATAACTTCAAGAAATGTGACCGTGCTTTTTTTTTTATTTATTTAATGTGGAATATTTTAAACAAAATGCTAACCAAAGGTGCAAACAACGCAAGTAAACCAATCAGACCATTTAGCCTAATAGCAGGGGTAGGCTCTTGTTGGAATTTTCTATTTATAAACATGGCACGTCATTGGAGACCACACAAATGGAGAGGTGGTTGGTACGCGTAGGCACCGGTTTGCAGCTGACAGTTGTACGGGGTTTTAAGGCATTAAATGAAAAAAGCTGTAATGACAAAAACCCTGATAGTGATTTCAGTAAAACATGCGGTCTTATCCTTGAAGTAAGGGCACTTGCAGTCAAATAAAGACACTGAATGATGCAAAATAGCTGCTGTTATGGATTTTGCTGTCAGCTGCATGAGTTCAAGCAACTTCATGTCAAGACTGTCAGGCTCCAGACCTTAATATTTGCATACTCTTGTCTATGTACTACAGTCTGCTTTGCTGGGGGAATCTGAACAGATTCACTAGTTTTTTAAATATGTTAATATGTATCCATAGAGAAGTAGAAGACGGGATATTTTTATATGTTTTAGTACTTATTATTAGTAGTACTTATTATTATTAATAAGTTATTAATAAGTGTATTATTAATATTATTATTATTAATAAGTTAATATTATTATTAGTAGTAGTACTTATTATTATTAATACTTATTAGTATTTATTACTTATATGTTTTAGTATGGTGCTTTCTTCTGCAGCAGAGTTAATAGCTATTCTGAAGTTTCTTTGTTCCAATTATGTTTTTTCTTAAGATTTGGTTCAAAAAAGCCAAAAGTTCAAAATATTGATTAGATTTTCAAGTGTTAAATCTGCTTAAGTTTTTCTTAGACAATAAAAATTGTTGCATTTATCACTTAAATTACAAGTGTGTGATGCAGTATTTTAACTTTCATATTTGTTCCTATTTTCTTTTTTATTAAAATAGAAGAAATTTCAGTTTCTTGACATAATTTATTGCACTTAATAGAATCCAGTGTTATTTAGCATTCTGCTCATGGCTGAGAATAATACCTAGCTGTTGTACCACAGTGTGATTTGAAATTTCCATTAATTACTTTTCATAATATATTTTAAGTTCAAAGTGCCAGCCATTTATTTGTGTGCTCAGTGTTTCAGTTGGAAGTCACTTAAAGCAATTAGTGAATTGTGGGAACGTCATAAAGTTGATGCAAAATGCAGTATTCATTGTCATGTTAATGCCAATAAGTGATTTTTTTTCTATCTTTCAGTTTTGTGCACATATTCTAATTGGACTTGTTTATCTTGCCTTATAAAATTTTCATAGCTTTTGCATTTAACAAAAGGAAATGAATACTGGCTTTGTGAGATGGAATGTAGTGCAATATTTGGAAAAATTTTTTCAGGAGTTTTGCAACAGCATATGCTGAAACTCTTTGTGACATTGCTGTTTTATCAGTGGTTCTCTAAATGTACATGTCATAAGTTCATCTGTCTCTCTGACATTTCTAGATTTTGGCAGTTCAAAAGTTTTGCCTAGCAAATTGATGAAAGTGCATTGTAAGTTTGTAGAAACTTACTAATCCTTAGCAATGGAGGAATTCCTGAGGAGATTTATTGAGCTTTGTAAATTAGTTGTGATGATGAAATAACTTGCCAGCTGGTCCACAGAATTGGAAAAAAGACCTGGAAATGGTTGATGCAGTTGAACCCTGTAAGGGAGTATGTTCCTCATGTCCTTGAGAGGATTCACAAGGGTGGATTTGTGATAAAGTACCAAACCACAAGAATATGCTTACAAAAGAACAAATTGCAGATGGTTTTATTCCATTATACTTTATATATGGTGTATGCATACGCAAATATATATTTAGATTTCAAGTGTAGCATTTAAAATCTTTACTAAGTGGCTTGTTTTTTGTTTCCATGTTTTTAAATGTTTTCAGGATGCTGTTCAGGTGTTGTTAAAGCATTCAGCAGATGTCAATGCTCGTGATAAGAACTGGCAGACACCCCTACATATAGCAGCTGCAAACAAAGCTGTGAAATGTGCTGAGGCTTTGGTGCCTCTTCTAAGTAATGTAAATGTGTCTGATCGAGCAGGCAGAACCGCATTGCATCATGCAGCCTTCAGCGGACACGTTGAGGTATGAGTTATTTTTCTTAGCTTGTTTCCTATGCATTGTTCTGTCCAACACATTCTAATTTTTATCTTCTCAGGTAAAAATTGTGTTTCTCCCTATCCCTTCAAAAAACACAGGCCAAACCCCTGTTTCGTATTTCTGTTTGTCTTTTGCATGATCTGTGTACAGATTGGTTGTATTACACCATTTAGTTGGAATATTATTATACCACACCTCTCCAAAGACATAAGCAAATTTATCCAAGTTAACTGGAGTCTAAATCAGTAATAGATAAATTTAAAATGGAAAAAAAATAATCTGTTCAGTAGATAGTGAATATATAGAATCTTGCCACTGAAATGGGAGAAAGTACATGCAACAAGCTCCAACTTACTAGTTTTCAAACCCTGAAAAGTGATTCTTGAGAAATTATTACAGTAATTGTGGTAGGTAATTAGAGAGAAGTTGGCAGTCGGCTTGCTTTTGGCGATTGCCTTTAGTACATCCTTTGGCCTGTAGATCTCAAAGATTCCACAGGTTTGTCATATTTGATTTATAAATCTTTTTTGTTGGTGTCGAATTTTCTGTTCCTTACAGTCACTTTGTTATTGCTGCCAAGGTGGATGACCAATTTTTTAAGAACGTGGAATATTCAAAACCACGCATATTGAAATTCTTTGAAACACACACATTTTTGTCTTCTCCTCTGATTTTCTTTGCCTAAGTTTTAAGTAGACTTTTCCACTGTGAATAAAGGATTTCTTTTCTTTCTGTTTGTCCCAGATGGTCAGCTTGCTGTTGTCTAGAGGAGCCAATATTAATGCATTTGACAAGAAAGACAGGAGAGCTATACACTGGGCAGCATATATGGGTATGTACATATTTGCAGTTGATTACTATGGTGATAGTTAAAATAAAAATAACCTTATGTTTAGTGGATTTGTATATTTCTGGGAAAAATACTTAGATGATAAGCGTTAAAGTTATCTGTGAATTTGCCAGAAAACCATTAATAGTACACTTCTAATGGCCATGTAAATATGTTTTTGTGGTTGGAAAATGAATTTGTTTGAAAAGGAAAAATCAATTTTTATCTAAAAATAGGAAACTATGTTCCTTACTCAGCAGGAGTCTAATCATAGGTGAAGCTTTGCAGCAGTGCTGAACAAAAAGCAACCAATTACTACAAGAGGCACCTCAAACAGAGGGTGGTTATGCCAGCTTGCTCCTAAGTAATTCACATGCAGCTGCTGATTGTATTTGTCATTGCAGAATGTATTGTGCCTGTTCAGAAGCCAAAAAACACTTCAAAACACATGTTCATTTTATGCCTCTAACTTTCAGAAAGTCTAAAGTTCTTCTTTGATGTGTGCAATGTGCCATATATGAACAGTGAACAACCAAGTTTCAGTACCAGTTTCAAGAAGACAACAGTTGATGATTCCATCGTCTTACTTGTTATTCAGCATTTTAGCTTATTGTTTCATAACCTTATCCAGCCAAGGGAAAAAAGTAATAGCAGTAGCATCAGTCTTGTGTGAGTCTACATGGGAATTTGAAGATGAAATATAGAACTAAAATGTGATCATATGTGATTTGTTGTTTCTTTTATGTTTTGATGATTTGCATTTTTCTTTGTATTTAATATAATTAAATGTTAGATTTCCCTAGAAAATACGTATTTATATGCACGTGTTATCTTATGAAACTTAAAGAGAAGAACATTCAGGAGAACACGGTCCTATTCTTTACAGCATTATTTTTTTTCAGAGGTGATTTAATGTGAACATTGTGGTTTTTTGTGTTTTTGTTTTTTTTCAGTTAGTCTAAGATAAAAATAGCACTTGAAACTAACATCTCAGTGAAAACCTTGAACTGTGGTTTACAAAGGAGCATCTTGTATATAAATTAATGTACAAGGAGATTAATTCCTCTACTACCCCTTCTCTGAGTAAAATGAACAATTTTTATTCTATCTGATATCAAACAAAAAATAAGGCATAAGCTGGGAGATTATGTAGGCATCTGTATGGCTAGGGTAACTCTGCCTTGGCAGTCTGATCTTAGGCAAAATGTCCCTGAATATGCAGTTTGATATTCATGTTCATAATTAGAAATTAGATACTCACCTATAAATACGCATAATGTTTTATAATGTGTACGGGAGAGGAGAGGAGCAGTTGTTAACAATAGATTTGAAGTTGCTAATTAAACACATTTCTCATCTGTTATTCAAAAAGTAGTGACATCGAGTATCTTACACCTGCTTTCCCAGTCTCGCCATGAAAAAGAATCACAGAATCACAGAATTTCTAGGTTGGAAGAGACCTCAAGATCATCGAGTCCAACCTCTGACCTAACGCTAACAGTCCCCACTAAACCATATCCCTAAGCTCTACATCTAAACGTCTTTTAAAGACTTCCAGGGATAGTGACTCCACCACTTCCCTGGGCAGCCTGTTCCAATGTCTAACAACCCTTTCGGTAAAGAAGTTCTTCCTAACATCTAACCTAAAACTCCCCTGGCGCAGCTTTAGCCCATTCCCCCTCGTCCTGTCACCAGGCACGTGGGAGAACAGGCCAACCCCCACCTCTCTACAGCCTCCTTTAAGGTATCTGTAGAGAGCGATAAGGTCGCCCCTGAGCCTCCTCTTCTCCAGGCTGAACAAGCCCAAAAGAGCAGCATGTATGTGTGTGTTAACTTACCCTATTTAAATACCATTTGATGAAAAACCTTACGCTGAGCTTCAGAGGATTGACGATGAATTGTTCATTGTATGAAATATGCTTTGGTCCAAGGACTAAAAATTCCAGTCTTTACAAATGAAAAAAGAAGCATTCACTTACAGATTTAGGCTTCACATAAAAGTGATCATCTCACAAATGCCTGGATTTATTCAAAAGTAGAATTATTAACTATTGTCTTTGCAGATTTCTGTAGTTTAGGCCAATTTCAAATTAGTCCTATGTCCCTGCCAATATAGGTCTGAAATAATCTGATAGGAATGAAAAATAAGGCTGCGAAATGCTGAAAAGAACAATAGGATGGTGCTGAGATGTCTTCAGAAGAAAAGATTTGAAGATGCTAGTAAATTTTGAAGAGACTGTGACAGCATTAATACTCTGAAGTTATTTTTTGAAAGCCTGTAGAATTGTACTTCAAGTACTGATACCAGTTAAACAGAGAAGTTGGAGAACAGCCTTCATTATTGATCCAACATTCTTTGGAATATTTTGCATTAGTATTTCATAATTATTTAGAGAAATTTCATTGACAGGCTGATCAATCACTTTAAGGTGACTGTTTGCAAAATTTTTGTTGAATGCAAGTAAATGCATGAGATGGCAGAGATTTGACAAACATCAGATAGACATTTTCTGGCTTGTGCTCACCAGGATGGAAAAAAAAAAATCCTCTATTTTTCAGATAAGCTACATTTATTCCAATTTTAATGAGTGCTATTTCATAGGCTATTAGCAGGAAATTCACTTAATGATCAGAGTGGGAAAAGTGTCATTTATCTAATGTCTGTCATCCTAGAAATACTTGCACACAATAGAGTAGGAAAAAAGAACTCCTAGAGGAGTTCAAACGAGCAAAAGAAATCCTGATATCTCTCCCTCACAATTTCCAGCCATTTTACATTGCTCCAGTTGTTAGAAGAAAGCCTTAAAGCTTTTCCACTGGATAAAATAGACCGTAGAGTAAAAAAGAAATTAGGCTTTTCGTCATTCTCCTATAAATAACTTTGCAGGGTTACATCCATTGTTTCCCTTCCTTCCTGCTTTTCACACGGCTCCTTTGCTGTCCAGCTGTAAAGCTGCAACCAAAATGGACTTGGGATCATGAGTGTTAGCGCTGCCCTTGTCAGCGTGTGGGAATGGCTCCTGAGCGCTTCCTACTTGAAGTGTCTCGCTCTCCTGTGTGAGTGTCTTCCACTGATTGCTGTTTGCGTTTAAATGCAGGTCAGGGATTTTTGTTTTGTTTTTTTTCCCTTCACTTTAAAGTTCTGTGCCACTGCTCTGTTCAGTATTTCTCTTTCTTTCACCACTTTCAATATCTTGTGTACTTCTGTCTGTCATGCAGGGCTTGTTTCCATTCTTGTCTCCACTATGTTTGGGTAATAAGATGAGTATCATGTTTAACTTTCTCTTTCTCGGTCTTTTCTACGATACTGAAGTAATGCAGAAATCATAGAATGAAATGCTGCAGCCCCTCCCATTGCCCTGCTTAGCTCGGTGTGCTTCTGATCTGTAGAGCTAGGTGAGGGTCTTTGTGTATTTTGGGGCCATGCAGTACTGTGGTGACTGAAAGTTTATTAAAACATCTTGGTATTCCTTTGGGTAGGTATTTCCTTTCCAAACTTCTGCACATTAGTTTAATAGTTGAAAAAGCAGCCCCCCTTTGTTTATGAAGCACTTAAACTGAGGGCTGGATTTAATGCATGGTACTTAAATGTCTGACTGGATAACCATAAGTATTCAGTGTTCCTCTCCTTCCCCTCTCCCCCACATTTTTTTAAAGCTGAGATAAGGGTTTCACTTGAAAGGTAAAACAAAAAATCCTACTTCTTTATGATTCAGGTAAAGCACTAAATCTATCAGCCTATTTGCATTGAGTGTTCTCTTTTATTCTGCAGACTTTGTCATGATTGTCCACATGGCATAAGTTTTTGTGTTTTCAATGATAGATTTGTTTGGCAATTAAATTAACTGAGCCAGAAGGACAGATTTTTGGCTACCTCCTTTTCATAGCTTCTCTCTTGGAGCACAGCGTCACAGTGGCAAGAAAACTGAAACTGGAGCCAGGAGACATGGTCAAGGAAAGAGCTCGACTGTGCCTTGCAAGAGTGTGATTACCGGAGGGGGTTATGTTGAAATACCCTCCTCTGGAGATGAATAATGTATGTGGCTTTTGTAGTTCATGGAAGAATTAGAGAACTCCTTACTTTCCAGATTAGGTCCAAATGAATAATGTTTAGTTCGTATTACAATAATTGTACAATTATTCCATTTGTAAATCTGTTCTGAGGAATATAAAATACAGCTTCTTTTTTTTGTTTTGTCTTTATTCTTTTAGGACATATTGAAGTTGTGAAATTACTTGTGGCCCATGGCGCTGAAGTAACGTGCAAAGACAAGAAATCATATACACCCTTACATGCTGCAGCATCTAGTGGGATGATCAGTGTAGTCAAATACCTTCTCGATCTTGGAGTTGATGTAAGGAAGAATAAAAGTGATACTTTCGTTGTTGTTTGAAATGCTCTTGTTATTATTGTAGTCCACTGTTTGTGTGTGTGTTTATGAGATGGTGAAAATAGTGAAAGTATTTTTGACAATCTTCACGTGCTTTGTGGTTTTTTTTTATAGTTGTGCTTTTTTGTTACAAAATTTCACTTCTCCAGGTAGCTTTAGAGCTTTGCAGTTTTTGCAGAATTGTTTGAAAATAAATTTGTGTTTAATACTATTTTTGTTCACTTGGTATTTCTGACTCTTAGACTGGAACTCAGGAAATAGGAATTCCGTTCCCAGCCTTGCCACACATATCCCTTTTGAACTGCAGGAAATTGAACTCTTTTGCCTCAGTTCTTTGTAAAATATAGATGTTACTGAATTTCTTACACCACATATACTTTGAGAAATGTTATGGATTGTCAGAAACTTTAATACTAGATTAAGGAAGGCCATATTAATGTAGAAATGCAAAATAAATTAAGAGGCAGTACACTACCTGCATATAGAAAGTATGTTAACAGAAAACTGTGAAACCTGTAAGAAAGGTACATTTTGCATCATATTTTACCTTTGCAAGATTGCAGAATGCTGCACAAGTTTTATCTTGAGAAGTAGATCAGAATTCAGTATCCCATCGTGCACAACAAATTTGATTTCTCCCCCTTCCCTGACTCACAAAAAGTACATACTTCAGTCTTGTTTGGTTTAGAGATCAAATCTGATGTTTTCTGTCTTGGATACTTCAACAGTGGCATTTATATTATAGTTCATTAGCGAAGCATGTGTATTTGCATTTTAGAAGTAGTTCATAACCAAAATTCCTGTTATCCTCGGGTCCTGAATATCATTAAGAAGTTAGCCTGCGTGCATGTGTGTGTGTCTGCATCTAGGAGTTCTAGATTTAAATGCCTAAAACTTACTTTGGGGAGATTCTCCGTCCTTTTGACACCTGTTTTTAACAGAAACTTGCACATGCTGTTGAGAAATGATAGAGATCCCTGAGGTGCTTAAGCTGCTAGTCTGTAATGTCTGTACAAATTGTCACTGCTGACATGCTTTGTGTGTATCCAGTTGCATACTGCATACAGGAAACTGGCATAGACACAATTGGAGGAGGTTGGCTCAGTTAAAAAACAGTTATACCCTTCCCCTTCTCAGTCAAAGTAGTACATCCAGACCTTGCTCTTAATTCCTGGCTTTGAAGAATTCAAAAACAGAATGAAGTTGTCTCATGACACCAAATTTTCTTTGTGGTAATTAAACACTGCAGTCATACAGGTTTTCGCTTATTAACTAACTTTTTGTTGTTGTTGTTGACAGATGAATGAACCAAATGCCTATGGAAATACTCCGCTCCATGTGGCTTGCTACAACGGACAAGATGTTGTAGTGAATGAACTCATAGACTGCGGTGCTAATGTGAATCAAATGAATGAGAAAGGTTTTACACCTTTGCACTTTGCTGCTGCGTCGACACATGGAGCATTGTGTCTAGAACTTTTGGTCTGCAACGGAGCAGATGTAAATATGAAGGTAGGTGAATCCAAAGTCATCCATTTGCTCTTATAGATTCAGTATAGCTTTATCAAAGGTGACTTCTCAAAGCTGTTGGGGCAATGTGTAGAAGTTCTTACTAATTGTTGGAGTCCTTCTGTGAAAAGTATTATAGAAAAAATAAGATTGTCTCGAAGAAGTTGGTCTAAATCTTAAATCTATGGGATGTAGTAAGAAGCCCAGAAGGAAAAGATGACAATAGTATCTGGTCAATCTTGACTATGTTTAAATATCAGAAGTCCCTGTAATCTTGTTTTCCCGAGTCTGTCTGTATGAGTAAGAGCAAATCGTAATGCAGAAGAACATAATTTTCTTATAAACAAAAAGCATAAAAGAAATCAAAGATTTTTCAGAGAAACGTGTCTGAACAGGCCGATGGCTGGAGCAGTTGTATGAAGGGTAAAATAGACCCTTGAGAGAGATGAGATCTCCTTTCTTTTGTGTGAAGCTAATTTTGGCTTTAGTAATAAAAGCTTAATTGTGTTCAGAAGTATTCAGTATCAGGTGTCTTGACAGGCTGGGGGAGGTGGGAAATAAGTATGTGGAAGGAAGGGTCCAAAAGTGCAGTGTATCTAATTGCCTGTACCACTGCTCACCTGTGGTAGGAAGAGAAGTATCTATACTCGTTTCTTTTTTTTCTGTGTGTTAATAGTTATATCAATTTCAGTACTATTTGAGTCAGAGGTGAATAGTGGAACAGTTTTAAAATTGTTTAAAATCATTTTTTTGTGTGTGGTTAACTTTCATGTTAGAACGTCACACTAATTTTCAGCTAATTCTAAAATACGATTATGTGTCTATTACTAAAAATACATAGCCCACTGAAAATTTGGGAGTAATTTAAATAGTTTATTTGATTTGTAAAAATCCTAGGTGTACGTTACAGTTCGCTTTTACATACATTTAAATGTGGAGCTCCTTTAATGAAGATGTGCTAAAATTGGTTGTGGAAAAATGCGTTACTAACGTGCCTTTGAGATGTAAAGAGTTACGCTGTAGTGTTTACAGCCAATTAGTCATAAAATCTGCAGGTCACAGTTCATTTATTCTTGTTGCCAGCTTTCTGCTCTACTGATGTCCCAGACTGGATATGACTGAGGGTTTAGCGTTACAGAGCTGTCTTCTGTCCTCCATCCTTGAAACCACATTTCTCAATAATGTATGTTCTGTCATGAAAAGAATCCCAAAATGTTAAATATAATAATGATTATGTACATATGTTGCATGCACAAATAGGAAGAAAACAAAAGAAGGATCAATGTTGCTAAGTAAAGAATTACTGTTTCCCTATACACTGGTTTGCAAGGGCTCATGGCTTTGTACATCTGATGTAGAAGAAAAAAGCAGGGAGGAGTTTGTTTCAGAAAAATGTGCAGTAAGCAAAGTTTTTGTTTTTTTTTTTTGGCTATTCATTTTCAAATACACCTTAATGATAGGTTAGGAATGAAAATGAAAAATCTCCAACATTCTGTTAGGATAATTAAACACTGCTGAAGATTACTATAATCTTTATGCTTGAACTTTAAATACAAATCTTTGTTATGGTATACGCTGTAGGTATTGCCTACATTCAGTCAGTTGTAACACTAAATAACCTCAGGAACTGTGCAAAGAACAGCTAGTTTCTTTGAATTGACTGGCAACGTTTCTAATTCTTTGAAGCTTGCAATGTGGGTGAATTGTTGTTTGGAAGTAACAAAAGATGTATTGGCATCAGAGAGATGTATTGTTGCCTTCCTTCCCACTCAGTTTCAAGTTATTGAATCCAAAGCATAGATTTGATAGTTCCTCTAATTAATAATAAATGGATGATCAGAAGTTTCCACATGGATGAACCCAGGCTTTCTTTTAAAAGCATACTCTGATACAAGAGAATATATGTATTTTTTAAACCTGATGGCTAGAAACTGTGGCCTGGAGCGTATCAGAGAGCTGAGAACTTCAGCTGAAGTCTCCTAAGAGCTTGGTACAGATTTGGCTTCTGAAGTTTTGTGTTTCAGAAGAAAAGGCCTTTATACTGGAAAGGGTTAGGCACTATCACGGAATCATTCAGGTTGGAAAAGACCTCCGAGATCATCTAGTCCAACCTTAAACCTAGTACTGAAGTCTACCACTAACCCACCATTAAGTTCTGAATTTACAGGTTTCTTGAAGACCTCCAGGGATGGTGACTCAACCACTTCCCTGGGCAGCCTATTCCAGTGCTGCACAACTCTTTCTGAGAAGAAATTTCTCCTAACATCCAACCTAAACCTCCACTTGTGCAACTTGAGGCCATTTGCCCTCATTTTAACACTTGGTGCTTGGGAGAAGAGTCCAATCCCCACCTCACCAGCTTTAGATATATGTGGCTGTATTTACAACATGTTGATTTACTAAGTAACAGAACTATGAAGTGCAAAATGAAACAAGTAGGGTTGTGTGGAGGTTTCAAGCGATTATAGCTGGAAAATATAATTCATTCCTTGTTTGTGCACCAACATGTTTCCACTGTAATTCTGTTAATAACATTTCTGTGGATTTCTACCTGTGTGACTGATTTTGGTCTGTGAATCTAGTCCTGAAGGTGGAACAGCCTTGCTTTGTATATGAACACTTATGAATTGCAATGCTGAGAAGTACTGAGGCAAAAGAAAATAATTTCCAAGTCAACATCTGCTTCCCTGGAAAGCCCTGTGAAGATAAATCTTGGAGTTAATATAAAGAATAATCCCTAAAAAAATAGTAGAGGAAAACTAAATCAGAATTCATTCTGTGGCTAATAATCATTTGTACAGTTTTAAAATGGGATGTTCTTAGAGGATCTTACTAAGTATTTATTGAAAGCAAACTTGTTCGGTTTCCAGATACTGTGGATGATGTTCAAAGTATTTCATACAGTAGTTCATATAATTGCTTTTTATCACCTCTGTAGAGGGAGGGCATCATTTCATAATTGTTATTGTGCTTTGTCAGTACCCGTATGCTCCTGTAGAAGAGTGAATCCTGTTAGGGAACGCTCATTGTTGCAGCGCTCTTTCCTCACCATTCGGGATTTCCATGCAAGGACGAACACATTGAAATGGGCTGGTATTCATTATTTTATGGACCCCTGGGTGTTCGAAAATTCAATGTCCTAAATAGAAGTATTTTATTTCCATTTCTGATACTAGAATGTAGGAATTGTTGCTAGAGGGAGATTTCATTTGGAGACCTCAGTAAAGCTCGGTAGCCTAAGTATAGTTAATATCTGAGTACTCACTTCACAGAATACCTTGTGCTGTGTGTTCACTGTTTCAGTCTAATAGAAATTACTGCTCTTAGCATTTTTTTTATGATCTTAAATATTTTGTGCGTATGTTTTCTCTAGTGATAGAGTGACTTCTTTCCTGTTACCCACACATAACTGCGTTTCAGTGAATACAATTAAAAGTAATCATTAGCCCATAGATATTTAGTCATGTGCTATCCAATCTTGTAAGATCGGGCAACTATATTTAACTTAATATTTAGATGTATAACTGTGAGGGCAGGAAAAAAAGGAGATTGAAGCAAAAGTTTTGAAGATAACCTCCTTGCTTATGAAGCCCAACCTCCTGGCATCTAAGGAAATAGTTACAAAGATTTTACCCAATACAATGAGCCTTACTATCTCATTACCTAAGAGACTCGATTCCTTGTTCTGATATATTCTGTATATCCTTCCCCAGTGGCAATGTCCAAGAAGGGAATTCTAAATACCATCTTATACCTAGAACTTCATATTCAACACAGAAATCATCACCTTAATTTAATTTTATACCTTTTCTATGTTTATATGTTGATAGACAATTGCATATTGTACTATTTCCGAGTTGCAAAGAAGTCTGAGACTATTAGACTGGAGAGAGACTGTGAATGAAATCCGTCATCTTACAAATCCGCGTTACAAACTTTTTAAAGTAAATTGGAGCAGAGTGAATCTAAAAATACATTATTGATTCTACGGTGTTTTTTATTTGAACTGGAAAATTACTTTGTTGCTTATTTTGCTGTTCTTATGTTGTCTTTTGACAACTTGCTCGATCACCACACTACTTAGTTTCTGATACTGTCACATTAAATTGTATTTAATGTCCCTGTGAGGTACGTAAGCGAGACTTGGATCTGTTTTTTTTGTTTGTTTGTTTGTTTTTTTTCTGTTCCATCTTCTTATTAGCCTTCCTTTGAGATACAGTTTTAGCACCTTCTGTAAAAACTACAGTTTTAGCACCATCTAAAATTACTCTGTCTCTTGTTGACTTGACTAATTTATTTCCTTACGTTCTCAAAGTTTTCTTCTTTCAGTTTTAGAATGTTAGTTACCAAAGCAGCTTTTGGTCACTCATTCAAACTAAGCTTATTTTATACAGTCATTTTTCTTACATTTACGGTTGGGTAGAGGTAGGTAGACATTAAAAGAAAATTATCTGTGCAAAAAAAATAAATAAATCAGAGGTCAGAGATTGCTTAGGGAAGTTGTTTGTGTTGTGTTTATTTGGCCTTTTTTAAGGCCTTCAATGACAGAAGTTCTTGAAGTAAAAATGATTGTCCAATTCCTCCACTGGATTTGAATTAATTATTCTGTGTTTCTTTGCTGTTACTGTGTATATGTGGATGTGCCTTTTGGGTTATTTGCTGTCAAAGAAATCTGCTAGCTGAGACATCTGGAGACATCTTGGTTGTTGTCATAAGGTTTTGTTTTTTTTTCTTTCAGTCTAGGTCTGAGAATTTGATGTTTCCCGTAATTGAATTGTTCTAGGTGTTGCATGCTGCTTTTTGCAGTGATGTTACTAAAAATTTCATGTCCATCTGAAGGATCCATAGCAGATTTAAGTAACACATCCTTAGAAGCTTTGTCATTTAGTTTCAAAGGAAGAGTAAAGATGGGAAGACACTTTTGCACAGCAGTGATCAATGATATTTCAATACATATGTTCATATCATATGTTGCCCCTCCTCTCTTTCACTTGCAGACAAAAGTAAGAACTCTTTCCTGCAGTAAAGCTTTCCATTATGTATGATAAAGTATAGGAAAAAAAAAGTCATCCTAAAGTAATGATCACAGAAAAGAACTGTTTCTGTAAGTGTGTTTAGATTGTGCTGTTTAAAAATTGCAAGTCTCTTATGCATTTTCGTTGGCCTACTTGAAGGGCATATTTACTGGGTGAATGACTAAGTGCATGCTTGGTATGCATTTCAAATGTATAATGCCTATTATGTTTGAATAGCTCTACCCTAGGATTACTGGTGGTTTATGATAAATTACTTTCAACTATCGCTTTACAGAAATATTAGTGGAACATGCGAGCTTATAGTGTGTTGTCTTCTAATACAATGTGTAAACATCCATTGTAAATGCATGGATAATAATGAAAAACAAAGTTGTTTTCTTTTCAAGAAACAAATTTCATTTAAAGAAGCATTTTGTTATTTTAGACTTGAGTGGGGGGCATAGGCTTGTTGCTGACATTGTGTGCTGTCATCAGCCTCTTGAGAGTGATTATCCTAAAGGCATAATTGTGAGTGAACAGGCTTCCTTGAGTTGTCACCCAGAGCTGGAAGAGTGATTAAGAGCAGCTCTTTTGAAAAGCTTACCAGGAAGAATTTAAAGGAGAGAGTAGAGGGGAGAGAACTATGTCCTTTTCCTTTGTCAGTTCTGATGGATTACTCTGGTTATAAGTAAACACTGTTCCTGTTTTTTTCTTTTTCAGAGTAAAGATGGGAAAACACCTTTGCACATGACAGCAATCCATGGTAGATTTTCAAGATCTCAAACCATCATTCAAAACGGTAAAAAAATAAAATAAAATACAAAAGGGGTAGGAGTAGTTTTGTCGTCAGCTTTCTGATACTACAAGTATTTTCCTCTTTTCTATTGATAGCAGTGTACTGAAAGTTTGTTGGTTTTTGTTTATATCCAGTGTCCAGTAGTAGTTTAGTTAATGGTGGAGTCTGGTATCTCTGCCTATAAAGTTTGAAAGAGTTGTTTATTTTTCAGAATGCGGGGAAAAATATTAATTTGTCTTCCACAGCCAAGTTTCAGAAGGTTTGTCCTGTATTGGTAGATAAGAAAATACGTTTTGCTTATTGTCAATACTAAATAGCACTGAAAGCATTACAAAATTGAAATCCAGAACAGTCGCTCATGGACAATAATTAATGTTGCTTAAATTATCATCAGTACTGTTTTTTTCTAACAGAAGTATCTGTATGCCTATGTGTATTCTTAGGTAATAATTATGTTTTTATTGCAGGAGCTGAAATAGACTGTGAAGACAAGAATGGAAATACTCCTTTGCACATAGCAGCTAGATATGGCCATGAGCTGTTAATCAACACTCTGATTACGAGTGGTGCTGACACTGCAAAGTAGGTAACATTTACTGACATGAATGCAAGCTGAGAGAATGTAGAAATGTATTTATTAGACTAACAAGAGTAGTATGATTTTTTTTATATTGTATTTAACTTGAAATAGGGAATACTTTGTGAACTATCCTGTACTGTGCTTTTAAGTAGCTACACAGTACATCACGATTGATACAAAAAGAAAGAGAATCAATTTTTCTCTGTAAAGCAATGTATATGAAATAAAAACTCTGAAAATTTTAATAAACTATTGCACTGAATTAATGCATCCTGCCTAGATTGTAAGAAATTGTCTAATATGTGAGGTTTTGTGTTGGCTCAGTGTTAAAATTAGATTGTTTGGTGAACAAACCATGCATGATCACTTTGGCACAGTCGTGTTTGTTTTATTTCAATTGTAATGAAACTGTGATACCTGATTATGGTGTATCTTAGGCGGGGTATACATGGGATGTTTCCTCTCCATTTGGCAGCATTAAGTGGATTTTCAGACTGCTGCAGAAAGCTCCTCTCATCAGGTAGGATACTCTTTAAAATCTTATGGCTGCTTTGTACTTCATTTTTTATCCCACAGAATAGCTTTTAATTAAATCTTAACTTAGTAATAGATAGGATTGTTTAGAGTGCTGGGGACAGTGGTTTTGGTTTTTTTTGCTTTTAATGGACAGTATGTAGAAAAAGTGAATGCAAACTTGTACAGAAGTAATTTCTTTACCCCAAAAACATCATCCAAATTGAAAGAATGTCTCTATAACTTCTAAAATGTTTCAAGTTGCCCAAAGAGGTGGAATGCTAGCCCAGGCCATAATAGGCCTTCAAGGACAAAAGCTCTAATGACTTCAGCATCCTTCATTTCCCTTACTGAAGATTCAGTATGGCAAAGAAATCCATGAAGAAGACTTGCAAGTGATTTCTGTGACTTTTACATGAACTGAGCAAACTTAGATGAAAAGCTAGCCTGGAGCAAAGTATCAGTTGCTTGACCATTTATAAAAGTAAAACTGAAAAGACTGGATACTGCTAACATTTTAGTACACGCTCTTGGTGTGAGGATTGGTGTCTGTGGACTGTGTACCCTTTTTGGTTTTGTAAGGAAGGTCTTGTTTATGTGAAGTAAGAACCTCTGACTTCTAAAGTCCTTAATATTCATTTTTGACCTTGGGGGTAAAAAAAAAAGTGCTTTGTTGCAGTACTGAGAAACATTTAAGTAGTTGGTATGAGACAAGCAACCTAGGGATCTTGCAAAGGTATTGAGGCCTACTTTTTGATTCAAGTTGGTAAGCTACATGTATCTTAACTTGCTTGCCATGTACTTGTGTTTACTCAAATGGAAGGCAAAGGTAACAGTACATGTAAAAACGATGTTTTGTGGACATACAGCCTTGAAGAGCAGTACGCCTGAACAACACAACCTATGTGCTGTTCGCTGTTCATGGCTGTTGAACAATTCTTTTTAAAAGAAAAAGGGAGGAAAAAGCTTTCCCATGGAGAAGTACTGACATTGGAGTTCTGGTGAAGAAGTTCTGCTACATAAAAAGATAAAAAGAAGACTCTTAAGAAAATATTGTACTTTTCTCTCAAACAAAAAAAAATACAGCTTTGAAAACTGATTTAAATAGTAATTTTTGTGTCATGATATGTGATTAGGTATAGAATTGCAGTTAGGGTATCTTAGATAATTTTAATTCTACTACTAAGCCTATGTTTCAGCCTGCAGGCTTGTTGCATTTAATTTCAAGAGTTGAAATAAAATCACAAGGAAGCTTTCATACATAAATTTGAGAAGTGGGAAGTGCCATAATGATGATAGTAATAATAATTTGTTTATTCCTGTATTTATTTTAAGAATGATCTTAAGAAATTTAGGGGGAGCACTGCAGGATAAACACAGCATAATCCTCTTTTGAGAAGTTTCTTTTAAACATCCAAAATTTTACTTATGCCTTAAGGCATAACAAGTTTTTTTTAAACTCCTCAAGTAAGCCTTTTGTGCTAGTGGATCTTAGTGCTTTGGTTATTTATATGGTGTCTCACACTTTTGAATTAAAGTTTTAGCTGCTGTGACACCTGTGGATGTTGTCTGTGGTCAGTGAATTAGTTAAATCATAGAATATCCCGAGTTGGAAGGGACCCATAAGGATCATCGAGTACAACTCGAGGCACTGCACAGGCCTACCCAAAAATTCAGACCGTATGACAAAGTACACAGTCCAAACACTTCTTAAACTCCAACAGACTTGGTGCAGTGCCTACTTCCCTGGGGTGCCTGTTCCAGTGTGTGACAACCTGACAGTGTTATGATGTTACCGGTGTTTTCTCTCTCATATTTGGAAACAGTGAAATTGTAAAGCCACATATCTTTGTTATTGCATTGTTAGGTTTCTTATACACCATACCCCTGCTTGCTTACTTACCAAACCTGAAGAATTGGTCAAATGCTTTCTTGCTCCAAAATAAGTTGAAGGTGAGGGCATGGAATTGTGTCAAGGAAGTTTTATTTACTTGAAACAATTCTCAAGGAGCATAAATCCAGTACAAGTTCTCATTAAGATGAAAGAAGTTATAGTTGCTCTAATTTATTATTACTTTTGTCTGCATGGATCTTGTGCCAAGTTTTATGGGGTAAGTTGTAATAGGAGTCAGTTTTGCGTGTTTTCTGTAGCTAAAATTACCCAGAGGAGATGATTTGTGCCCTTGTTTTTAAAAAGCTTATCATGCTACTCTGTGACTTCTAGTTCAGGTACTGCCTTTATAATTTGCCATTTACAGCACAACAGGCTTCAAATCAATTAGGGAGCAAAGAGTTTGTGGGCAGAAGCATGAATGTGTGCTAATTGCTGTCAAATGCTAGAATCCTCCTTTGGAAGAGTGGAGAAGGGATTGTCCTGAACATATTATAATTTAGCTGAGACGCCCAGTTTATTTGAATAGACTTTACCTTTCCTACCACAAATGCAGCTTTTTATTCAGATACCTATCTTACCAACAAAGGGTAAGGTTAACTAATCAGACTATTAATTAGTTTTTAGTTACTTATTTAATAATACAATAGGACATATATAATGCAGAGGACAGTCTTTCTAGCAGGAATGTCAGAGCAAAGTTAAGGCTCGTACTGTAACTTTAACTATGGAGCTGCATACTCTCAAATACTTGGTTTTAAATATTTGTGATCTCAAATTTTCATAGCCCAAATATTTTGGGGAGAAAGCGACAAGGTTCTCTACAGTGCTCCTCTAATTGCTGTTTACAGCCTTCACTTCAACTTAGTGTAGTTCTTCCCCTGGGACTAGAGAGCTAAAATGAAGGATGAAATTGAAGTAACTTCTGGATTTAGTTATGCTGACATCTCCTTATGTAAAAAATAATTTTTAAAGATTCTCTGCAGAACACTTTTAAGTTCTACCTTATTCTTAAATTTTCCTATTATCTTCATGGATTTTATGTCCAGTACTAAATTATACAGAAATATTAGGAGGTAAGTAAGATAAGAAAGAATATAGCTTCTTGCCTCAGCTCTGCTAATTGTGTTTTCCTTTAGTCTTTTCAGTTAAAAATGAACATATTTTTCAAAATACTATAAATAGCAAGGATTTGTTTCAAATTATTTATGTTTATGTGCTTCAGCGCTCTATGCAAATAGCCGTTAAGTTTGCTTTGCAAGCATTTCTCTTAAGGGTAGATGAGAACAGTTTTGTGAAAGCTTCTAGTGCATAATGGGTTTTACAAATATTTGATTGGTAGGTTTTGACATAGACACACCAGATGACTTTGGCAGAACTTGTCTTCACGCAGCTGCAGCTGGAGGGTATGTAAAAAGCATTCATGCTTTTATTTTTGGTGTCTTTTTTTTTTCAATTGCTGATTGTTCATGTTCTTTTTTTATTATTATTATTTTTTCCTCTCTGTGTTTCTCCTATGCTTTCCCCTTGGAATTATGTATACATGAAAATAATTTCAAGATGGATTCTATCTACAAGCAATAAAAATAAATAAATTAAATATTCGGCTCTATAAGTAATTACTGGAGTACAGTGTCCAGGTATCATCAGCTTTACCTTAGGTTTATGCTTGGGGATGAACTGGATTTTGTTTTAATTTCCCATGGGTGATGATATAGTTTCAAAGATGTCGTGCCCTGCTGTATCACTGAGGTAGAGATCAGCAACTTTGGTAAATAAATGTTTACCATATCCATAAACAAAAGCTCAATCAAGCTAAATTATAAACCATAATTAAATTCCAGAGTTTAGGTGGATGAAGTGGTCAGAACAACTTGTTCATCACTTGAGTTGTGATCTATATTGATTATTGTTATTGTATTGTAGGTTATCTATAGCAGCTACTCAAAATTGCCTGGAAGAATTGGGTAATAAATCTCATGATACACTTTGTGGGACACAAGAACTCCATGATAATGATATTTTCATTTTTCTGTTTCAATGTTGTTTAAGTAATACTGCCAAGTAATCATTCTAAGTCAAGAGATAATTGATAGGTACATTCTTGTTACAAATGATTAAGGTTAAAGTGCTATCTTTTCATATAAAAACACATGATTTGTGACTCATTCCCTCATTCATTTCCAACTTAGAAAAGTTATTAAGATCTTGTTTAAGCAAGCAGCATTGTACATATGTTATGACGATCATATTGTATTCAAAATCAATTGCACTTAAAATATTTGCATTGCAACTTATATTTGGCCTTAAAATATATACATTAAAAATTTGCTTTTGTGCTGCAATCCTGGTAGCAAAAATGATGTGCTGTGCAGGTGTATTTTTTTTTTAAGGAATTGAGACTTCTGTTAATTTAGGTTAACTTTCATGCGCTGTATGCATGCCATTTGATATCAGTACAGTTTCTATATGTGGACTTGAAATAATTAGTGTTCTTTCCTGGTTTGGTTCTGCAGTTGTGAAATGTATATTACGTATAAGAAGTCATATAAAATAAATGTTAATATAGTTCAGTTGTAAGAAAAATACCATATAAGTTGTATTTTTAGCAGTTCTGACATTTGTAAAGGCCGATATTAAGGACCCATAATTTGCAATGACAAGCAATATTGCATTAATTTAACAGGAATTTGGAGTGCCTAAATCTTCTGCTAAATACTGGTGCAGACTTCAACAAAAAGGACAGATTTGGGAGGTAAGATATTCTAGATTTGTATATTCTAAAGAGTTGCTAAAGTATTACAAAAGTAGCATATCATTATATGGGCGAGTCCGTGCATTCCAGTTTCTATGTTTTTAAGAAATGAAGTCTGCTATAAACTATGCTTCAGCATGTCTTACCAAAAGTTATGGTTGTATCCTCTTTATTGTCTTGTGTTTTTTTTTGTTTGTTTGATTGACTTTTTTTGTTTTGGTTTGTTGGTTTTTTTTCAGTATTTGCTTAGCCTGGTTTTTAAAGGCTGTGTTATATACTCAACTGCAATTTTTATGAGCCTTTTCTGCTTACAGCACAGCTCTAATGAGTTTGTTTCTCACATCCAAGGATATTAGTGATGTTTTCCAAATAACAAATTAGTCAAATCTATAAATTTCTTGCTGTTTCTGAGCTGTGTGGGTTTTTGTTTGTTTGGTTGTTTTTTTTTTTAGTGGAAAAAATACATTTTATCGTAACTGCTTCACATTTTCCCTTTCGTTATATCCATCAATTTCTGTTCCTTTCCTTGTTTGTGCTCAGAACTCTTTTGGAATGACATTAATTTCTGTTTTTAGTATCATATTATTTAAGTGCAGATGGCACCATCAGTACTTGTGCAAAATCTCACATCACATCCTGGAAAATATAATTCACTCCTGTGAATGGCAGGAGTAGGGCATGAGGGGAACGTTATGGCTGTAAAGTTGTATTTTGCTTTAAATTCTTCCATCCTTTCCTGAGAAGGGATCAACTGTCTGTTGCAACTTTTCTCATTGAGGATTTTGTTAATAGTTTTAACTTATGTGTTATGCAAAACAATTATTTTGGGAGAGGAAAAAGATTAAAATAGTTAAAAATTGAGAAAAAAAAATAATTTTAAGGAAGAGGTAGAACACTTCAGAGTGTCTGTCTCCTCAGAACTGAGTCATTTATAGTAGCTGTCCATCTTTAAACATAGAAAATTGAATTCTGCACCATTGTGGTGCTTTTGAAATTTTGTGTAAACTTGTTTATTTTGAGATTTGAAGTTTAATTTATAAATTTCCTCTGAGGGTATTGAGCAATATTAATCTTTTGTGGTTTTGTTAACAAGAAAACAATGTATATTTTTTAAAGTTTTCTTTAACAATACCTCTGGGATGTTATTGTAGTTTAAAAAATACTGTATGTCTGTATTAGAGAAAATTCTGGTCTTTTTTGCAGAACACATCTACTCACTGTTGTATTTTGACCTTGTTTAGTTGCTATGCACTTCTTGGATTATTTTTTCATGTTGCTTGAAATTACCGATTTACCTAAAACCAATGTCTAATGTAAACTATTTTCCTCTATATGTTTACACGAGAAAATTCATGTAAAGCTTCTCTTAAGACAGAGTTATGTATATGTATTGGCTGACAGATACATCACCTAGATAGTGTTCTGCATTATTAAATGGCCCTAGAAAATAATTTGTAATATTTGTGTTCTTCACCACAAATACTTGCTAAAAAAGGAAAGGAGTATTTAAGTTTCATTTTATTTTGCATTTTCTGTCTATCTAGTATTATTTTGTTGTTATTTACCATTGTACTTTTTATTTAAATGTGTACTAAAGAACTCCACTCCATTATGCTGCTGCCAATTGTAATTACCAGTGCCTGTTTGCCCTTGTGGGATCTGGAGCTAGTGTGAATGACCTTGATGAGAGGGGTTGTACACCTCTGCACTATGCAGCTGCATCAGACACAGATGGAAAGTAAGTGCAATGCTTTGTACTACAGATGGTATCCTTAGAATGTTTGGGCTGTGAATTTTGTGTACGTTTTGCCTTTGGTTTTGCCGAATGCATGTTTTATATTTTTAAAGATTAAAATTGGCAGTGGCTTCTTCATTGTGTGTAAAATACTTCTGAGGGAAAAATGAAGTACATTGTAAACAGTAAAATGTATTGTGATTTTTTGGTTGTGTCCTGTAATGCAGGTGCCCTACTTGTGAACCGAGTTTTTAATCCCACCTGCTGTGTAGTGGTTGAATAAACATCATCTGCGAGGTTATCATGCAATTATCTGATGGTCATAAGCATTAGGGTAATGATACTTTAAGATCAAATTTTGACAAAGAATGGTGTGTTTTGAGGAGGCTTCTTAATGTTGCCCTAAAATCAGTGTAGTCAGTCAGAAACATGCTGTAAAAGTAGTGTGTGCGTTGCAGTAGGCCTGGATAGAGATGAACTAGACTTATTTAATTAAATCCATCGGGATTTAATTAAACTATTCATTTTTGGCATTACAACTCTCTCCTTAGTGTAAATTTTTGTGATGTAATTATGCTTTTATTTATCAAATGCATCCAGAAGTCTTCAAAAATCCATAAATGCCTTTTGTGTGTGTTACTTTTGTAACTAAAGGTTGTATTTAGCAGATTTTTAATTGTTTCAGTGCATACATTCAAAGCTTATGCAGATAGCACAAAATTGATGAGGTCAGATAAACTGCAGACATGGTATGTGTCAAGCAGGCTTTAGAAAGGTACGTCCTGCATATGAACACACTCACAGGGATCAGAACAGGCTGGTGTGCAGCATCACATTTCAGATGGGTACAGTGACAGCTTCACTGGAGAAGAGTACTTTTTAGTGCCATATCATCGTATTTTAATACAGCACTTTTAAAAAGGTGGGGTAGCCATTGGAATGAGGTGGTATGTATCTTGCACATGGAGTTCTGAAGGATAAATAAAGAATATTTCCATTTAACTAATGTTTAAAATATATGTAGACACAAATTTATAAACAAAATTGATATTTTTTACAAATATGATCAATTGCTACTGGAATTTGTTGAAACAGTACTTTAACTACCCTCTTAAAATTTGAGCTAGGATTAATTTTAGCTTCACAGTTGCTGAGAAAACTTCCAAACTATAATGGTTTTTCAGATGGCATCATTTTGCCATCTGCCTTATAAAAGGGACAAGCATGAATGATGATGGCAATATAGCAGATCTTTAGAAGATAACTCAAAGAATTGTCTCTAGCAGCCTCACAATATTACTGTTCTGATGAACAGCTGGCTCTCTGCAAGACAGGCTGCAAAGCAGAATGGCCCGAGGAGAAGCTTTTTATGTTGATGCAGCAAGATGATTAGAAACAGCTGGAAAACCAGGACTACTCAGCTCATATTCAAAACAGGAAAGAAGCTAAAAATGATTGCTAAGTTGGAGTATAAAGCCTGGGAAAAAATATCAGGAAATGATCTATATAGAAATTCCAAGGATATTTATGTACGTTTTTGTGGTCTTTGTTCAGATATCTTTAAAGGCTGATTTTAGGGACAATGATGTTTTTTGCTGAAAATTATTTTCCTGTTTGTGCCCGTTTGCAAATATTTCTTTGGTATCCTTTAACAAATATTTCAGATCTGGAAAATATGCTAGTACGCCTTATTTTGACAATATTAGAGAGGGAAAGATGATCACAGACTAAAATAAACTAAGCAGTGTGTTAGGGGAGAAGAAATGTCATCTTTCTATATTATAATTATTTAATAGAGAGTACACAGCTAAATAAATGGGAAATAAATTTAACTTATTTGGGCTGTCAGAAATTTTGCCAGATCTCCTTTTTTAGAGGCCTTTTGAGGACAGTAAAGTATTCAAGTAATACAAAATTAATCTCCTTGCTGGATGAGAAGAAAGAGTTTAAAAAAAAAATAATCATCTGTTTTGCATTGTAAAGAATGCTGCTGGAGAAGTTTCAGAAGACTGCTTTCTGCAGAGTATTCAGTGGATTAAGTTTCCTGTGAACGCATTAATGTAGAAATACACAAATATTGAAATCTAGATAGGTAAAGTCAGTGATGTTCTATGTATTTTTGAGCCATGAATGTTAATTTAAAATCACTTATTAAAATGAACAAAGTTAGATTGGCCAAATAAAATGTAGGGACGGTAATTCTGATCTGATAGACCAAATTGACTTGGCCTTTGGATTTTCAGAAAAGTAATCAAGTTTGGATTTAAATTAAAAAACAAAACGCTGTCATCAATTAAATTCAAGCATTTGTCTGCTGGGCAAATAAAAAACAAGCTAGGTGGTTAGGAGCATAGCTTCCTGTAAAGCGTATCTTTGTGTTAAGATCTGTTCAACCTAAAGTTATTTACGTCTTGTGTAACAAGTTATTTTGTAAAACTGGAGAATTTATACCATTTTTTCTACCTGCTTAAGTACTTTTTCCCTGTATGCTGGACACAAAACGAGAAAAGTGAGAGCACACCTTGGCTTTGCTCCTCCTCTTCTCAACTTTGCAGAGGGGCAGAGTACTATGTAATCAGATACTTTTTTTGTTGATAGCTTTTTGTGTTTCAGCTTTTTACCCCTTCCATTTTCACCCACCTGGATTTTTGCTTTCAGCCTTTGACTTGTTCTTCAGCGAAGATTTCAGCTTTCACAAAAGAAGGGTGATTTTCCAGCCACATGCCTTCAGTAAGGACTTTTTAGATTCACAGACAGCATTTCTTTTGGAAGAAATGGTGGTCACTGTCTAGTGTAGAGAGAATACTCACCTTCTTTTCCAAGGTGACAGTAGAAGACTGTTAGCAAATGTCATGTCTCCACTTCAACAAACCTGCTGTTGTTGCATGTGAAGTTATTGGGCTCTGGACCCATTACAGTAATCTTACATTGAAATGAATTTCCATGTCATCACAGCCACTACTGGGTCTCATTCTGATGTTGATCTTGCACTTGGACTGTTTCATCTGTTGACTCCAGGCCCTTCCTTGAAAGCTCCTTTAGAAAGATTTCTGATATTTCAGGGTCATGTTGTCATCCCTCAGGTGATGACTCCTCTGGTAGAATTTCTGCCTGTGTTTCCAAGGTTTGAATGATCAAGTTTCCTCTTTTAAGAATAGATCAGAGGTCATATTAGGATTTCTGCCTATCAAATCAAAAACTGATGTATTCTTCTGCAAGTTTTTCACAACAGCACAGGATAGCCTTATCATACAAATGTTGGGTTGTTTTTTTTGTGTGTGTGTGTGTGTTGTTTTTTGTTTTGTTTTGTTTTTTTGTCTTTCTCTCAATTTCCTCTGAGATAAATGGGAAATAAAAATCTCATAGTGTCGGTCTATCTAACTGACCCTTTTGGAACTACTGGTAATGGTAATCTGTGAAACCTGTAGATAAGATGTGCTAATGAAGAAAGGTTCCAAGCTGGATTTGCCAAGATTTTTTTCAGCTTCACATCTATTTTACTGAACTGATGCAGAAGTATTTCATAACGCCAAAAAAGGAGAAAGGATGGTGACCTATTGTACGCTTCAGAACACCAAATGGTTTCACCAGCATGTTCAGATTCATCACAGTGACTTGCTACAAACATCTCTGCATTCCAAGGGCATGTCTTCATGCTTCTTGACCTACAGAATCCATCTTTCCATCTATCATACAAAGTATGTGTTGTGTACAACGTAGCTTAATTTAAGAATGTTCCTCAACTGTTATCAAGACAAGGTTCTCCTGACCAGATTTCACCATAGCACCAACAGTCCTAACCCAAACTTTTTAACAAACCATTTTAGAAAGACTGGAATGTCACCCTCCCTGTCTGGACATCTGGCTGATGAAGGAACTGTACAGAAGTTGGGTCTCTTCAGACTTTCACTTCAGAGATTTTGTTCAGTTCTCATTCAGTCTCTGGAAGCCATCCTATTGCAAGATGTGTTCCAAGTTCTAAGAGAGATTGTAGCATTTAAATATATGATTGCCACCTCAGTGATGTTTTTCTTCTGTTTTAGTCACGGAGCAGTAAATAGCTTCACGGTAGACTACTTCAAAACACTTAAATCTCACTCCACTCTGGACACATGGTACCTGTGCTGCTTGGTGGTCCTCTTCTGAATGGTTAGGTGGTCCTTTCAGAGGCAAGATGATCTACCCATTTCATTCTTCTTTTTGCTGAATGGTAACAGGTAATCCCTCACAGGCTGAGATCACTCGTGGAAATCATGGATATCTCAGGGCAAAAGGGCCAGACATTTCTTACCAGTATTCTGGAGCTCAGAGCTGTGTAGAATACGTGCAGAGCTTTCTGGTCTTCTCTTCAGAAATACTGTGCCCAGGTCTCAACAGAAACTCTAATCACAGTGTACAATGTTGATAAATGGCACATAATATATTCTCTTTCACTGCTGGAAGCAAATGATCCAATCTTTCAGTATACCAGCAGGTGGCTTTAATCAATTCAGCTTTGCTGGACGCTAAGTGGGAGATCAAGTCCAGTGATCTGAAGTTCAGCTGCTTCTTGTGAAGAACCAGACAGTCTGTTCTCACATTAGGCAGGGTCATGACTTTGGCTCGTTCTTGGTTCTGTTATATAGTTAAGAAGTATGTGCCTCTTCCCAGATCCTGAAGGTCCTGATTAAGGTAGGACATGGGGAGACTTTTACAATCCTAAATGTTTGACAGATTTGTATGAGAATCATCTTCATCTGTCAATAAGAAGTCTGTAATCTGTCTTTCTTTCCTACTTTGTTAATTCTGAATTTCCAGAGGCTTTGTAGAATGATGATCTTGCTTAGCTGCACACCTCACTACATGGATGTTTGGAAGCCCTTATTATCCTCTCATGAGTAAGTTCCCAAATAACCTGATGCTACTCTAGGACTGTTTTTTTTTCTCACTGGTCTCTATCTTATCCTGAAGCTCTTGAAGCTGAGACTGGATGTGTACAGTAGTTTGGTTTAAGCCAACTTCCTTCCTTGTTGCTTCAGAGTTCTCATTCTCATTGTTCTTAAGCTCTGCAAAACGTTGGTTAAAGTGTAGACAACATAAAACTATGAATGAGTAGGGTTGTTGGTTGGAATCATTTAGTGTGCACTTGTGGAGTCTCTCTTAAAAACCAGAAAAATAGTAATCGTTCTTTAAGAGAGGGAGCTGACATTAATACCCTGTTTTTCATCCTTCTGGCTTGAGTGTCTGTAGCTGAAACTGGCGATCATGTTCTGTCTTACAGCATCATGTAACAAGAGTACGAAATGATTAGGATATGAGTATGTCAACAACTAAGTGTGTTTACTATATATAAGTATATATATATAAATCAATAAATTAGTGTCTGGTAGTGGAATAGAGTCTGTGATTCTATTGGACTGTGTATCCTGAAGAACTCATCTGTTTTTCCTCTTACTTCTGTGTTAAGTACAGAAAAGCGTACTGATATATTGTGGAAAATACAGAAATAATAATAATTTATATTAACAAAGGTCTCTACAATCTTATTAGCTAGGAGGAAGATAGCCATGGAATATTAGTTTTAGCCAAGTCAGCGGATTTAGAGGATTCAGCATTCACACAGAGAAGGATTCTTCCAGATTTTGGAAGCGTTGTGACTGACCTTAACACTTGGTGTACTAAGGAGTTCTTTAGTCAATATTGTGTATTAAATCAGTGTTCTTGTTGGCTGTATTCTATTTTCCAATTTAATTGGAATGATGTATCACTTACTGTAAACTTGAAATTCAACATTTAGATATATGGTTGCATATTTCAATTTAAATAGGTGCCTGGAATACTTGCTAAGAAATGATGCCAATCCAGGGATCCGAGACAAACAAGGATACAATGCAGTTCACTATTCTGCTGCTTATGGTCATCGCTTATGTCTTGAATTGGTAAGAAAACATTACAGATGAAAGCTGTAACAGCTGTTCTTACAGAGCGCGATGCAAAGGCCAGGGCATTTCTCCTTCTTCATTCTTCACCTCTTAGCTTAGGTTGATTGTATTTTTTGTCCCCTGTGATAGTAAATATTTAAGCTCTTGTTACTCTTAAAACAGAGACAAGGTGAGGAGCTGAGATGGTAGATACCAATTAAAAAAGATAATAAATTCTGAGATGAAGAGGTAACACTGGTTGAGGATATGGGATATTAGTTTTGCTGTGTTTTTAATTTAGGATACACTGCTAATTGTGTTCTTGATGGCTGAAGTAGAATAACCACAGGAATCCCACTGAGGAATATTAAGAAATTTCACAAATGTCATCTGAAGGAGCAAATTAAAATGTAGGGAAAAGCTGTAAAGTAAGGGTGTCTTATAGTTCACATAATGCTAAGTTCTTACAGTAATTAATGGCCATACAATAGAATTTTAGATGATAATAATTTAAGGCCTCAGGGTAGTTTTTGATGGATCCCTTTGCTTTTGTATGGGATCAAATAACATAACATATATGTTATTTGATATGAAATGATTTTATATTTTCTGTGTTGTACAACTTAATATTTTAATACAAATTGTACTTTCCTATCCAAGTGTATTAAAATATGACTTCTGAATGTTTTTAATTGCAGATTGCGAGTGAAACGCCTCTAGATGTTGTAAGTGTGTATGATTTCTCACTGTTAAAATACAATACAGAAAAAGGGAGCATGTCGTTTTAAAAATACTGGTGCTTATTTTTAGACTTATTCAACCATTTCTTCAATGCCTAGATGTATTACTTAATTTCAATTGCAATTTAGATTTAATTGCAGTAGTTGCAAATCAAACTCTTTAAAAGGTCAAAACTGATATATAGAATTCCTAAAGAAGCTGTAGTCCTATATTTTTCTTTCTAATGGTCTTTTTTATTTTTCAATATGTGTATGCTGGAAATAGTAGCAATTATTGATGAACGTTTTTAAAGGGGGAGGGATTTTTTCACTCACTCAGGCTTTCTCTTTTAAGCTAATGGAAACATCAGGTACTGACATGCTGAATGATTCAGACAACAGAGCACCTATAAGCCCACTGCATTTAGCTGTAAGTATTTCATTCTTCAGTGATGATACCTCATCTAATTGCAGACATGTTAATTTTGATTTGTTCTGGTTTTTGTTTATTTGTTTATTGTTTATTTTGTTCTTAAATAACCCAGTAATAATAAATTAAACCTGAAAAATAAATATGTGATATTCCTAAATGAGCTATACAGGATGATTTTCACATTTTACTTGAAACTTGCTACATGGAACAGCCTTCATCTGGAATCTCATAATTAAGATTTATGTTATAAGTTATATTAAAGAAACTTTTAGAAAACTTCTATAAGTAATGATTTATTATTATTATTATTATTTTTTACCATTGTTTATTGTGAAAGATGTTTGTCTATAGTACTTTAAGAAAACTTGCAAAAATAGTAGAAGAGGCAAACTGGTGAAACTGTCTATAGAAATGTGGATTGAAAAACAGAGTAATCAGCTCAATATGTGGCTTTGATCTTTTCACTGGACTCCCAGCAATGGAAAATATGTCCTTTCTCAGCATACTTTCTGAAAATAGCCCGTCTCATGCAGTACATATATTGCTATATATATGACAAAGGGAAAAGTAATCTAATACTGCTAAATGAACAGAGTTACAGAGTCTATTGCTGGAAATGAGTTTTGTCTGGGGACAGAGGTTACATATCCCTGAGTAGAAACTCAAAGTTTATTATGGAAACTATAAAACCATAGCTGCAGATATTTATTTTCGTTACTAACTTTGATGCTCTGTCTTGACACATACCAGCAGAGTATTGTCTATGTTTTGGTTTGGTTTTGATTCTTATATGTCTATTCTAATCTCTTAATGTTTCATTTGCTCATAGCTGCTTTTACCAGCTATGGTTACTGTAGCTATTTGTATTGCATTTTTTATCTTCAAAATTTTAGACTTTTTCTGTTTTAGTATTTTGTTAAAAGAAATAACAGGAATTAGTTATATTTGCATGTGCTTGTCACATGCAATAATGAAACTAGCATAAACAATGAAACCTGCAATATTCAAAATACTGGTGGCTGTACAAATAGGAGACGGGGACAATTTTCTGAAAGTACTTTGTTGCTGATTGAAAGCATGAAATGAAAGAACACCACCTTCCTGCTGAAATTATTTTTGAAAGTAGTTGTTACTATTTTGTAACTACTTACGTGCTGTATCAGGAGCTCTTCTACATGTTAAAACAAAAATATTGTCTTCACAGTTTCATTTATGTAATCCTGGTAAGAAGCGGGGAAAATGTGAAGGACAGGAAACCTGAAGATTTTTTTTATTCTCTTAGGCCTACCATGGCCACCATCAAGCTTTGGAGGTGCTGGTACAGTCTCTGCTGGACCTTGATGTGAGGAATAACAATGGAAGGACACCATTGGATCTTGCTGCCTTCAAGGGACACGTGGAATGTGTAGATGTGCTCATTAATCAAGGAGCATCAATCTTGGTGAAAGATTATGTTGTAAAGAGAACCCCAATACATGCTGCAGGTATGTGCTAACTGATAAACTCTAAAATTTGGGCTTTTGAAATGGATCATCTTCATATTTAGAAGTCTTTATTTTTAATATTCTAAGAAATAGTGTTTAGGAATGGATGATGACTTTTTTTAAGTTACATTTAAGGTACAGACTCAGACCTATATGGTTAATTTAAGGTATAGATTCACCCCATAAATCATTCCAACTTGAGGAGTGCTGTTCCATTCCACTCTATAAACAGGTACAGACAATGGTTTAGATTGGAAGGGACCTTTAAAAATCTAGTTCCAACCCATGGCATTGTCCTTTTCCATTCAACTAGCAAGGCTAGTTGTACTGACAGGTGTCAGTGATGTGTTCTTGTTTCGCTCCTCATCTTTCACACAGCCCAAATTTAGATACGTGAGCTGTGTTGCCTGTCTTGGCAGTAAAATGCTTCTAAAAATGACTGGAGTCTTGGAAAATTCTATCAGTTTGTGAAGAGACATGAAAACTGTGCTTTGTCTTTTCCATGTTTTTAAATCACACCTTGCTGCGTGTTTTCAAATAACAGCAATCCTTTGCAGTATTTTCTCACTGCCTTTCCTAGAAACCATCTATAAATTTACTTTCTCAAAGTCTGGCATTCATGCCTTATTCTCATTTTTTCCTGTCTTTGAAAATAGGCTTATTTAAATTGACATTATAGTTATAATGTTACAGAAATGTCGCAGTAAAAAGAGCATTATGTGCAAAGCATCATTATTCTAACTGCTTCATTTGTTCAGCTCTGAGCACAAGCTATTTCACTCCTCCTAACTTCTGTTACCATTTCTGTCAACTGGAGAGTCACGAATTGTCACCGTTCTTACGTGGACTGAATAGAGCAGCTGTGTGCCAGAGATACTTTCCTTTCCAACAAGCATTCATTTGTCTTTCATGAGTTGCATTTAAATGTGATTTCTCATTTGTTTTGTTTCTTTTCTTCTTCCTTTCTTTCTTTCTTTTTTTCTTTCTTTCTTTTTTTTTTTTTTAAAACTACTTGGTTAATCCTTCTGCACAGTTTCCTTCCCCTTCTTTCTAAATGTGATTTCAGTTAACATTTCATAACTATGCACATGATATGCGTGCTAACAAAACCCACGTATGATTGGCTAGGTATGTGTTTGCTTGTTTTAAGGCACAGGTAAAAGTTGTGCTAATAGTTATATTTGATTATTCCTTCTTGTGGACATTGCATACATGTAAGCATATACATATGGCTAATACCTGCTAGGAATTTACAGTTGAAATTGATTCTCTGTAATATTGTATAATCTAGAAATAATAAAATGATTTCTAAAATCATTTTTGAGTGTTCATATTTTTGCTTTTGATTTAAGTTAAAACAATGATAACGCTGTACACTGTGTTCTGAAGTTATTGGGCTTTGGTATTTAGAACTTTAGAAGTCACAATTCTATTTGAGCTATGTACTCAAAGGCAATTAATGTTAAACTTATTTTAATGATGTTTTACAGCTACAAATGGTCACTCAGAATGTTTACGACTATTGATAGGAAATGCAGAGCCACAGAATGCAGTGGACATTCAAGACGGAAATGGACAGTAAGTTTAAAAGATACATTCTATTCTTCAGAAGTTACTGCATTTTATAGCATGCAGTAAACTAATATAAATAGTATTATTAAACTAAACTAAATAGTATTTTACATCAGTGATTTTTCACGTGTTACTTTCGAAGGAGATGATATGTGAACTACAACAAATGAGAGTGCGTATTTTGCTATACACAATTTTGGCAGTGAAAAATAGCCTGTTCAGTCTTACCCTAGTAACTTAAGCAGGATTTCTGAATTAGTGGAAATTAATTTATTTTCTTGAATCTAGTGGCATTCTTGGAGTGAAGGTAGTGCTAGAGAAGCTTACTGATGGTCTAAATTTTACAAGTGTTCTTCAGAAGGATAGAAGTTGTTATATTTCAGCCGAGTCCTGTTAAATTTCCATGTAGATTTCACTTCATTTCACTCTCTGTGTAGGACTCCTCTGATGTTGTCAGTTCTCAATGGGCACACCGACTGCGTTTATTCACTCCTTAACAAAGGAGCAAACGTAGATGCCAAAGACAAGTGGGGAAGGACTGCATTGCACAGAGGGGTAAGAGAATATTCCTTTTCTGTCCTTTCTAGTATTATACGTAGTAATTTCAAATACAGATTTAGTCTGTAGCATTAATGAATTTCTCATTGTTTTCATCATGCCAATCTTAGCTTTCAGTTGCTTTTTTAGTTGCTTTCAAGGCTAGCTGTTGCTTTTTGCCACATACCCTAAAATTTCTGTTGGGCTTCCTGAGTCTCTTAATCCTGCTATAAATTGTTGACTGGTATCAAAGTACAGTTTTGTCATGGGGTGTGGGTTGTATTAATGGGAGGAAGAAAATCAGAAAATTATGATGTATGCTGTAGGCTAAACAGATTTGTTTTTTTAAATTTGTGCCATATAAGATAACTGAATGAGCCCTGAAAATTTGTAGTTTAATCAGTATTATTCCAAGAAATCATCCTGTCATGAATATAATAACACATTGCCGTTTTTCCAATAGAATGGCTGTTTCAAGAAATAAAAATAATTGCGCTTATTTTGTTATTACTTGAAAAATCTAAGACGTTACCTGTAGTTGCTTGCTGTAGTTATGCAGCTTAGCTCTCTCTCTATGTGAATATTTGCAAACATGCTATTTCATCTCTCTCTCTCTCTTTCTCTCTCTCTCTCTCAGGCAGTTACTGGGCACGAGGAATGTGTGGAAGCATTGCTTCAACATGGTGCTAAGTCCTTATTACGAGACTGTAGGGGGCGGACCCCTATACACTTGTCAGCTGCATGTGGACATATAGGTGTTCTAGGAGCTCTCTTGCAGTCAGCTACATCTGTGGATGCAGTACCTGCAATAGCAGACAATCACGGCTACACATCGCTGCACTGGGCCTGTTATAATGGTAAACATGAAAGCAATCTTCTTCGCTTTAGAAGCGTCTTGGGGGGAACTGACTTGTCATTTTTATTTTTATATTAGGTCCAGAACAGCATAATTGCCACATAATTATAACTTCCTCTTCAATGAATTAAGTGTTGACAGTGTTTTCACTTCAAATCTTACATGGAATATGAAGTTAAATGTCAGAATTCTCACAAAATTAATAAAAGGAGCCAACAGTTTGAGGGAAAAGTTACGGAACAAAACAATGCTGTTGGGTACAGTGGTATACCTATGACAGGACTGGGAAATCATTTCATTAATAAAGATTTGCAATCTACTAACTTGGCTAACTTATTCATGGAGGCACTGGTCATTTAAGGACAACTTTAATGTTGGTTAATGTTGGCTAATACATTTGTATATATTTTATTGTATTATGCACTTAGCCATGCAGTTAGTCATATTAACTGTAATTAATGAAGACAAGTGACAGAAGGAAGTTTTATATACAAATAGGTCTGAATATAGAAAGCATCTTTTTAACTTAACTAAGCAAAGTTATATTGTAATCAATAACATAATATAATGTAATCAATAATACAATATAATGTAATCAATAATACAATGTAATCAATAATAATATATATATACACACACACAAATATATATATATATATCGCAAAGTAACCTGTTCTGATGTTCATTTATTCTTATCTTCCTGGAAAAGAAAGTTATTTATCAATTATAGAATTATGAAGTGTACGTTTAACTCTTACGGCTTGATCCATTTTCAAGAGTGACCACAGTGTCTGAATAAAACAGAATTGAAATATTTTCGATTTACAGAATGAAAATTTTACAGAACTTGTGAAAATGCGAATCTTCAGATGATGCTGATTGGTGAACTAATCTTCACTGCATATATGCAGCGAAGGTCAAACAAATGTTTATAATTTTTATCTACCTATGTAGAATTTTGAGAATAATACTATGACAGGTTGAACATGTTATTTTTAAGCTGTTGCTGTGACTGTTGACTTAGTTTTTCTTCAGATTTACCAAGACAGTGGAAAAAATGGTAGAGTGCCTCTACCTCATATGGTAGAGACACTTTCATTTACACTTAGTGGTGAATGTACAGAACAGTTTGATAGATGAAGATATAAAGAACTAAATTGAATGTTCTGCATGTTCTTCAGACAGCATGAGATCCCTTTAAATTTCACAGAGTTCATGGTGTTAAGTAATCACTTTGATTTTCTGGATTCTAAAAATGTCCTAGTTTCTAAACGTAGGCCTCTCAAATATATAGCTTATGTGTCTTTAAAGCTTTCAAATTTAACATTGCTTAATCTAATTTAGATAAATAAATAAATATAAACAAATAGATATTTTCCCCTTTTTATAATACCTAACTTTACATTTTCTTTAGGTCATGACAGTTGTGTAGAGCTCCTCCTGGAACAGGAAGTTTTTCAGAAAATGGAGGGAAATTCTTTCAGTCCGTTGCATTGTGCTGTGTAAGGAAGAGCAAAATTATTCTTTATAGATTTCATCACTGTATTTAACAAAAGATTTATCATTCTGTAAATAACAGTCTGTTTAATTCTTTATAGGATAAATGACAATGAAGGTGCTGCAGAAATGTTAATTGATACACTAGGTGCTGGTATTGTAAATTCAACAGATTCAAAAGGAAGGTAAGTATGCATCTGTGTAATGAAAAAATGTACATAATGGTTGCATCGACTGCTAAATTCTATCATTGTTTTTTTTTAATTGCTCTTAGATTAATTATTCCTTTCCCTGTTTTTATTCTTTGAAGATTTTTTTATTCTGTGCTAGAAATTTTAGAATTACTATTTTTTTAAATCCTATTCTGATTCAGTAAACTTAAATTGGCTTTTTGTTGTGTAGACAAGTTCAGGAATGCTTAAAATTGCATTCCTTTGGGGGTAGTATTTAATGTGTATTTCTTTTTCTGAATCAAATAATATCTGTAGTATAAACTTATTATTTTAAACTACGTAGATAATAAAGTGACGTGTGAAACTCGAAGGCCCCATTCACAACTCTAGCAATACTGATACTAAATGATCAACTGCCCCATCTTTTGTACCTGCACAATCACAGTCAGTATGGCTCTTTGTATGAATTAGAAAGCCAAGCTGAACATAACCCAGTTGTCTTTTGATTTATTGCAGGACTCCTCTTCATGCAGCAGCTTTTACAGATCATGTTGAGTGTCTACAGCTTCTGCTCAGTCACAACGCTCAAGTAAATGCTGTAGATGCTTCGGGGAAAACACCTTTAATGATGGCTGCAGAAAATGGGCAGACAAATACAGTTGGTAAAGGGAAATTTGTATGCATTTCTGCTACATTTGTTAGTCTTAACTGCAGATAAAGTTGCCTAGTAGTTATGTTATTGTGGTTATATTTTGTCAAAATAACACTTTCATTTTGCACAAGTTCTTAAAACTTTGCAGAATGTGCTTTTAGTTGATACAAATCTTTATTTCCCCCAGAGGTGCTGGTTAGCAGTGCTAAGGCTGATCTGACTTTGCAAGACAGTTCTAAGAACACAGCACTCCATTTGGCTTGCAGCAAGGTGCGTGCATAGTCTCACTTCATCAATGCTGAGCTTTGTGTTATCAAGTGTTGTTTGCAAATAATAACTTCGAAAAGGCATTCAAAGCTATTTTTGAAGAGTATTTGTTATATGACAAATGTTTGTTCTGTATTAAGGGTCATGAAACTAGTGCCTTGTTAATACTGGAGAAGATTACAGATAGAAACCTCATCAATGCCACCAACGCAGCCTTGCAAACGTATGTATCAGCAGTGAGTGTTTTTTCAGATTACTTTTGGTGTGTTCCTGTTAAAACCAGTAACTTGCTCATAAAGTGGAATTTATTTTTTTTTCCAAATTGGTTTAATTTTGGTTGAATTGCTTAATACAAAGAGTTGAGACAACAAGTAGAATTAAGCCCATTTAGTCCAATTATAGAGAAAGCTTAAAAATGTATATGTAATACTGTGTAATGTATTTCAGGACGGGCTATTAAAATGACTCGTCTGGTTTTTTTTCCTTTTTTAAGACTGGATCTGTATTATAGTTAATATTTGACACCTGATATGTAGCTGAGTTATGCACATGAATTTTTAGACTGCTTTCATAATACAATCACATAGGCCATTTAGGAAAGAAAACTTCTGGAACTTTTTAGTAACTAGAGTATTTTTCTGGCCTTGCATCCCCTCTGCAATCTGTCATGTTCAAACCCCTACAGTTTCACCAACTATTCAGAGATCTGCTTGAACCTAAGGAGTTAAGATAATAAGACTTTCCTTCTTGTGCTCTTGCTGCTCACTGTGGTGCACCTCAGGCAGCGAGAAATATGCAGAAAGCAGGAAGGGGATTGATTGCCCCGTTCCTGGCTTGAACAGGAATATCTAGAGAGAAGGAAAAGCTAAACTGAGATGGGAATAGAAGTGGGAAAGTATACTACCACAGGCTCATCTAATTCCACCCACGTGCCTTGGCTCATAGAGTCCGATCAACAGATGTTGTGGGGAAAAATAGGTACATATTCACACCTCCATATAATGTTTATGTAGATTTCAAGATTTTAATAGTTGTTTAAAATGTTACTGGTTTAGCAAATGTTTTTCAGTACCTAAACTGGCTTTGGTCTAAACAGCTTTCATTATAAACAGTGTCCTTCCTACTTTGTGGCAAGATGAGCATTGCAATTGCTGGCTCTATGTGAAAATGATTTTTTACATTTTTCATTGTATCAGTGGTGTGCAGTAGTTCTTGAATTTTAATACTTTAACATAAGCACCATAGATATAGTTTCTCGTATTTGTGTCTTCTGCATTTCTATTCTCTAAGTGAGGCACTTGTTTTCAAATCAAAATAGATTTCAGTTAATTCAAACAATTTCAAGAACCTCAAAACGAACGAAGAGCAATATAAAGCAGAGTGGAAGTAAGCTGATTATTCTGTTTCCTGCTGAGTGATGGCAGGATCTATTTAAGCCAGGGGGAATCAGTTCTGAAAAACTGTTGCATTTGGGGAAGGTATAATTAGAATAGTTGAGGTAAAGCTATGCTTTCCTCGATAGATCGAGTCACCACAAAACAGATTTATAGTTAATAGTCTGAGGTTTTGAAAAGTAATTTGTTTTTCTTCTTGCTTCGTGCATTATAAATTTTTCATCTCTAGTCACAATGGAATACAGCGGTTTCTAAAAGGCAGATTGATTAAATGCCTCTGCATTCCTTAAAAGAATTTGTATGCAATAAAATGTGACTACCATGCTGCTGTTTGTATTTGAATGATTATTGCCAGTGACATACAGTAACTCTCAGATGAGACACTCACTGTTAAAATAGTGGGGGATTTATTAATAGCAAAGTGTATTTTTTTCTAACTTTTTAATGTGATAAAGTGCATAAATAGGCACGTCAGTTCTAGCAGCTACTTCCCCACAGTGTGTTTCCATAAAAAGAGAAGTGCACAATTATTATTTTATAGTTTATTTGCAGTGAGAAAAGAGATTTGCAGTCTTTTTTCTGGTCCTGATTATTGTATATGCTGTATTTGGACAATGTGTAAATAATGTACAAATACTTCAATAATCATTTAACTAGATGCAACCTACCTTTGTTATTTATTATCTTGTTCTAAGTTTTATATACGAGTTTGCTTCCCTCCTCAGGCCTCTGCATGTTGCTGCTCGAAATGGACTAACGGTTGTAGTTCAAGAACTTTTAGGAAAGGGAGCAAGTGTACTTGCTGTAGATGAAAATGGTAAGAATAAATGTAACTTTGTTTCCCCATAAGGAACTGTGGTTTTAAATTCACCTCACTGAAAAGCAGCAACCACTTGGAAATGTCATATAATACTTGCAGTAGGTTCCCCCATACAAAAAATGTTGTGTTGGTGATGGATCATTTTAGAAAAGCAGCAGAAGTGTAAGGAGAATGAAAGCTTTCAGAACAATACAGGTCATGGTATAGAAAGGTTTGGTTTAAATTTATGGTCAGATAATGTATATGCTATAAATACACTGGCTCTGGTGTACTGGAAACAGAAAAACATAATACTCAAAGTGAAATAAAGCTTTCAGCTGTTAAGATGGATTGAATTGCCATCCATTTTGTCAGGTGTTAGTATTGGTGTTAGTTTTTAAAAGCAAGTATGAATTACAGGTCCCAGTAACTGGGTCTCAAGTTTCTGGCTCATTAAAGGTTTTTGTTACATAGGAGTAAGAAAAAGTAACTGCTTTATCAAAGAGAATAAATTCTGTAGCTTATAAGGACAAAAGAAAAGGGGATCTATTGACTTCTTATTTGCATATTTTCACATATGTGGTCCTCCAAATCTGTGCTATTAAGAGATTACTCTCCTGTTCTTATGCTACGCTCCAATACACCTTTAAAACGAAAGCAGTAGCTGTTGTTTTTTTTGCATGTTTGTTTTCCTTCCAGAAAGGATGTGTCTGATTAACAGTTCTGATTAGATTTCCATTTTGAAAAGATTTTTATTTCTTGAGGTTTACTGTGATTTTCCTTTTACAGTGTTTCTCAAGTTATACTGCTTATAGTGATTTAAAGACCATTCCTCCCCTAAAATAGGGTATACAGGGGTAACTGCTGAATGAAACTCCCTAAAGCGAAGATGGGAAAACACTGTTTTTGTTTTTTTGCTTCTCATCACAAGTGTGCTAATTGGAGACATGATTTTTTTTTTTTGGTGGGCTTTTCTTGTGTAGCCAGTCAGTTCAATGATAGAGCAGACCTTTGACATAACAGAGAAAAAAGTTGCTTGCATAGAAGTCCCATTTCTCCAGCAGCTTGGGGATCCAACTGTAACGTGTTAAACTTCTTTTAATTCTGCTAATATTTTAAATCTTAAAACAACTCTGAGTGCTACCTACCCTAGTTCCCCTCTGTGGTTCCTAGCATTTCTTTCTAGTAGCAATTCCTTTGTTTATAAAATCTTAAGAAGCCTTGAGTATATTGCTAATGAATTCTCCGTCTCTCAGGTGAATGTGCCAGCTTAAAGTTTAGTGTAGACAGTGATGAATACTTTGAGCTGGGAGAGAACAAGCGAAATATTTATGGGATTTATCAGTTTACCTATTTTACCTGTCATTGTACATATTTCTTAATTCTTAGAGGTATTAATGTATCAGCAGTTTGCTAAACCCGTTGCAAAAGTTTTCTTGATTTCCATAGTATACCTTTCATATTAAATGGAAAAGATGGTGGTAGCCAGGCTGTGCGTTAGGTCTGCTTGTCTTGGATTTTCACATCTACTGCTAGAGTGAAAGCGTTTCTAAAGCAAAAAGAAAAAATATGGTTACATTATTTATTTGATACTAATAACGCACAAATAGACAAACTTAGACAAATAAATAGACAAACACAATAGGCAATCTTAGGGTGCTTTATTATTATTATTATTATTTATTATTAATAATATAATAATAATTTATTATTATTATTATTATTATAATATTATAATAATAATAATAATAAGGATGAAAAGAGTGTGATTCCTTCCTTTTTGAGGGCAGGAGGATGAAAGCTATCTGCTTAGCAGAACAGACTGAAAAAGTAGGCTAAGAAATAGGCACTGGGATGTTGTGCATCAGTACTGATGTTCTCTAACATAGGTCAGATAAAAGTAGTGATCTGCCACACAAAGCTTAACGTTTCAGGTAGAACTAGATAAAATTGGAGGTAAAGTTTCAGTTATTTTCCATGGCAGTGTGTCTTGATATATAGAATATGTAGCTAGCAGGATCTTAGCTTGGTATGGAGTGGGCAATCTTTGAGATTGACCCTATCTATAAAGGCTGCACTGAGGTGTGGTGTGGTTTTTGTTATTGCTTGCTTGTTATTGTTGGTTTCTTTTAGTTCTTTTTGGTTTACAAGCAAAATTTATCCATCTTTACAAGCATATTTATCTATTTGTGTGAAACTGCTTAATAGCCCTCTGCTGCTCTATCTGAGCTACAGAAAATTACTTGACTGAAAAAAAAGAGCTTTTAAAAAACAAACTAGCTTTACTCCAATTGTCCGCATTGTAAAAGCTCTGTATTTTAAACCATAGCACTTCTGTTACAGAGCATCTCTTAATGCAGTGAGAACGCTTTTGAGATGTTTAAGAACAAACGTCTTTGGAAAAAATGTCATCTTCCTGGTTCTCAAAGGATTACTTGCAACTGAAACAACAAATTATCTGTGCAGTATGCTTCCCAGACATCATCATGCTGAGGGTTCATTCGTATTTCTGTACCAGTTCTCACTGAAGTATTTCAGTTCTTTTCCCGTGGTTCCAAGATTGTCTTGATGAAAGTTTGCCATCAACTGCATCTGAAGAAAGTATATTGAATTTTACATTATTTATGCAAGTTTACCTCTCTTGAAAGAAATTACTACCTTTTTCTTTCATTTGTTACCAGCCAAAGTTTTATTTTTGGTCATTTAGTCAACTTTTCAAGGTTTTGTTTTTCACTATTTAACTTACTAGGCTAGCTAGATTTCCTGGCACTCTTTGTGTCTTATTAGTGTGCACTAGTCTTAGGACTTATAGGAGGTTTATGCCATTTTCTGGATTCTTCATTGCCATGCACATTGGCCTATCAGTGCTTTAAAAGTAAAAAAGTAGAAAAGAGAAGAGAAAAATGTGACTAGTTCTTTTCAAGAAAGAAAAGAACCAGCTCTGGGGAGCCCTTCTACCGGCCTTCCAACACCTAAAGGGGGCCTACAGAAAAGCTGGGGAGGGACTCTTTGTCAGGGAGGGTAGTGACAGGACAAGGGGTAATGGCTTTAAACTAAAAGAGGGGAGGTTTAGGTTAAATATAAGGAGGAAATTCGTATCTGTGAGGGTGATGAGGCACTGGAGCAGGTTGCCCAGAGAAGCCGTGGATGCCCCATCCCTGGAGGTGTCCAAGGTCAGGTTGGATGGGGCTTTGGGCAGCCTGGGCTGGTGGGAGGTGTCCCTGCCATGGCAGGGGGTTGGAACCAGATGATCTTTAAGGGCCCTTCCAACACAAACCATTTTGTGATCCAAGTTTTCCTTTGCTCATATGCCAGTTTGTATTTGAGGTCTTCTCCTGTTTTCTGGAAGAATTTTTTCTTGTAAATGCCTACCAGATGACTCATGTCTCAGATGACTTTCTTCTCTTTCCCAAGTGTAAGACTTCATTCAGTTTATCTCAAGAACTTTCTTTGCGCTGACCACATTAATAAAAATGTGATTTTCCTGTAGGCGCTTTCATGGAAACTTTGAAATCCCAGGGGAAGGAGCAGCTCTGCACTTGGGCAGGGAAAGCACTGGTCTTGAGGCCACGTTCAGCACACAAGCTCCATTTTCTGTTGTGCTAGAACACTGTATGATAGTGATTTCTTTTTCCCTAAAGTTACAAGAGTGTTCAAGATCTTAGCAAGAAGCAATCTTTTAAAAAAAGAAACAGCCCACCAACCTCTGGGATGTTTTTGTAACTAAAATATTTTAAAAAATACAAACTGATAACGCGTTTAATTTTCTTTTTATTTTAAACAGTGCAGAGTTAAGCAATATAAAAATATTTTTGGAGCTGAAAGATGACATGATCTTGGTGAAATTTTCTTTTTGTTTTAACTGATGGTTGTATTTTTCCTTGGCTTCCAGGTTACACACCAGCTTTGGCCTGTGCACCCAATAAGGACGTTGCTGATTGCCTAGCTCTCATCCTGTCCACAATGATGCCTGTTTCATCAAGCAGCACATTGCCTTCCTTTACGTTCAATACCATTAATCATTACACCAACACCTCAAAAACTGTCACCTTCGATTCCTTGCCAGTCATGAGGAGTGACCATAGCTCTTATTGTACTTTCAACAATATTGGCAGGGAGGATGGCTACCCCTATACAGAAGAAGATGAACTCAATGACTCTGATTCTGAGACCTATTGAACGCTTTATTTTGTAGGTCTGAAGAGTGAACCCTAAAGCTGGAAAGTCAGCAGACTTGGGCTTTTGAAAAAAAAAAGAAAAACACTGTCAGAATTTGAATACAAAAAGAAGACAGACCTTTGAGAAGATGTTTTTTATTGTGGTTGCATATAAAAAAAAAAATCTGTGAGACTCTAGGAGGATTTTTAAGAGCATATTTTGCAGAAGAAGCATAAATTCTTGAATAAGTACTTGGAATCCATGGCAAAAAAAAAAATAAAATAAAGAATGTCAAAACTGTTTTATTTAACTATTCTACCATTCAGTTTTTGGTGCCAGGAGTAATTTCTGCAGACTAGGCACCCTACTTGATGTAAATGGTCGACACTATTGTACAACACAAAGGATGCTAGATTTAAATATTGTCAATAAAACTAAAACCATTTTGAAGGCAATAAATGAGTTTGGTACAGTAGGCATTGTTTGTGCTGCAAATTGCCAAAGGACCAAATAACTTAAAGATTTTTTTTAATTAAATACCTTTTTTGTGAAAACTGGAATAGGTTCTTTGAGAAGTTGTTTTAACCTTAATCACTTCTGGGAAAGAAGCTTAGATTTGGTTTTAAGTATTGATTTATTTTTTTTATCATCTAAAAGCCTTCCGACACTATTAAATGTACCATGAAAGAAAGGAGATGTATTTTTAAGTTTTGTTTTCTTTTTCTTTTAGATGAAATGAAAATGAACTTGTCGTACTTTTATAATACTAAAATTAAACCAGCTAACAAGGTGAAGTCAGGGTGAAAAATGTACAGTGTAATAAACAAGGGAAGGGGTGGGAGATGTGGGAGGGAAGCAGTAATTGTTGCACAGTTTTAGATTTTTTAACTTTTGGGTTTTGGATTGAGATTTTTTTAATTTAAAATACGTGAGTAACTTGGAAACTATGAAACTGCATAAAAAATTGAAATGAAATGTCTTGACAACCCTGTTGTGACTGAGAGTTCTTTTCAACAATTTGTCCACTTCCTTATATCATAAAATTGTACGTAAGATTCAAGCTGTATGTCCCTATCACTTTTTTGTTTTTAAAGTCCTGGAGTTACGAGGGAGGGGGAGGGGAAGGTGAATTTAAAAGTATATTTCCCTATTAGCAAAAAGTACAATGTCTGGTCTGTGGGAAGAGCTGTGTATCTTTGTTGTGCTCCATTTAGAAAGTGAACGGCGGAAACAGGTCCCTGTAATGTAGTTCAGACTTGCCCGAAGATTTTTTTCTTTTAATTTATAACAGACTACTGTGTTTTTTTAATTGCCTGAAAAATGAAGAACTGACATAAGTAAGCTAAAGTTTCATCTGTTAAATATGAATATTTACTTTATTGGGCTCTGCTTTAACTATAACTGTTACTTTTCAAGTGAAATTGCTTATGTACATGCAAGAAACACTTGCATGTCCTGGTAAAGTACAAATAAATTACTACAAACTGATTCCAATTTCCTTTTTATCCTTTTTGTATTGTGAAACTGGAAATCTTTATGATATTGTAAATTATCAGCTGGTTTTCTGAACATAGTGTGGAAACATGGGACAATATTTTGATCTATTTGATAATTTTGTGGGTTTTTTTGAAGAATTAATGAGCATGTACATAGAAATAGTGACTGCTTGAATACTGTATTTACCTGCACTCTTTCAGTACTTCAAGATTCCTGTATATTTTGCGGAGTATAATAAAACCCAAATGTGAGTTCTACTAATGAATAATTTATTTGTATCTATTAAGCATTAATGGCAGAGTCTCTTTTGTTAAACTGTTAGAGTTTGTACAATCTACTTTACAAAGGCTTTGTAATTCTGAAGTGAAGGTGAGCCATTTGAATTTAAAGTAATCGTAAATGTTAAATTAATTTTTTCCATTAGGCTTCCTTTTAAGTATTACTTTTCACCGTTTGTGCCTGCGTTCATTGTTTGTCTTTGAACAGAATTAGATGACTTCAGGGAGATCGTGATTTCTCTTTTCTTCCCTCTGAACCTCTCAAAGTGCAGGGCTACGTGGGAGTGATGTACACGCCTCAGCCAAGATACTCAGAAGATGCGTGTTAGCCTGCCTTGAGATTCACTGCATCTATTTAAATACCAAGGTGGAAACAGCATGGATCCATTTCTCCTCATATTCTTGTGGAAAATCAGAATGCCAAGTTGCATCCGTGTTATTTGAAAGGTAACTATTGAATATTTCTGTTAATGAAGCTGTCCAATTTTGGTTGTTCCAAACAAACTGTGTGATGATGTTAATAGGCTTTTATTACCCGGGCTTGACTTTCATTTGACTTCAAGATGACCCATTGTCTCAGCGTGTGGTGTCTGCTGCCATAGGACAGTTTTTAGGAAGGGCGCTCCTACCTTACTTGAAATATTAGCAAGGGAGCAGAAACAGAACTATTCATGCCTGCCATGTGCCTGGATGACTGAGGGGAAAAAACTTGGAAGGTGTTGACTTGAAAGTTAGATTCAAATATGGAATACAGACAAATGGAGAAAATAATGCTGTTAAACACCTGTATGTCAATCAGAAATTGAGCCTCCTGTAATTCATTACTCCTCACATCTTGAGGAAAAAAACTTTTTCTGTCACATTAAATTACCTTATTTTTAAATTAAAAAGAAGTTCTGTGAACTTCATAGGGTTAAAGATGTCTGACTTGTGTTACAAACCACTAACTCCATGTAGGGATTCAGAGCTGCATGTATCTGATTAGAATTCATCCAGTGAACCTGTGGATTTCAGTTTGCCTTTGGTTGTTCCATGCTGCTGGTATAGGTTGGACAGTAACTGAGTGACTGTGCCTTGTAAGTGATAATTGGGACTATTACTAGAGTACGGTCTTATTCCAGAAATGGAACAAAGTTTGTTTAAAGAATGTTTCCCTTGTTTCAGGCTACTTCATTAATGAGAAGTCAACAAACAGAAGGTGCCTTGTTGCTGAAAAACAAATAGTGCTGTCTGTAGTCAGAATGGCTGTTTTTCTGTTTGTGTTCATACCTGAATGGAGGCCTGTTTACTTCCAGAAAATGATGCTGGATCCCGTGTCCTTCAAAATAAGTCCTACTTTTTTTGTTGTTGTTCTTCTACAGATTAATAGGGCATCATTGCTGTTACAACCTTCATCCAAACAACCTCTTGGATTTTCACCAAGAGAGGGCAGGGAGGCTTGGCTGGACCTCTGAAGCAAAGTATTAGAATAAAGGAAACCCTTTTTGTGCTGGGAAAAAAAAAAAAAAAAAAAAAAAAAAAAAAAACAATGAATGGACTTAGGAATGACAACAACAAGCTTGGATCAGCTTTTTGTGTTCTCTAACTTCTTTGAAATTTTATAGACTTTTCAGTTCTCAGGATAAATGTTCTGTAGGAGAAAATGCCAAGTTAGCACAAGTCTTGTCTCCTACTTCATGTTTCTTGCTACTACTTATTGCTTCACCAGCACCAAATCTCTCCAAAACAATCATATAAATATATTTGGAAAAATCAGAGCTTAGAAATATGCATGTTTTAAAAGTTGGATCTTCTTCTTTTTTCTGGTCACACAGTTTCTACCTTAAAATTCTGACTTAAATTGCCAACCTACAGAATTAATAATGTTTTTTTTTTTTTTTTAAAGTTATCATTTAAAAGTGAACGACTTCTAAGTTGTTTCAGTCAACATCTGAATAATGGATACTAACGATCCCAAAGCTCTTACCTGTATGTCAGATGTCTAAAACAGAGCAGGAGATAACATTTATAGATTCTTTGACGAAAGAATCTATTTTCATTCTGTTTTCAGAGGAATTGTCCTTCCTGTCTTACCTAGAGATTCTGCCTATTTGAGAGCAACAAATACTGCAATAATCCGAATAACTTACTCTATTTATATTCTAGTTTCAGAGAGCAAGAGCGTTCATTAGAATCAGTTGGTTTGAAATAATACTAGTATTGTTCTGGTAGTTGAGCTTCTTTATTTAAAGAAAAAAAAGTTTGTGGTGAGCTTTCTGTTAATCATGTAATAACTGGGTGAGCGGATAAGCCTGTAAAAAGATTGTAAGTGAATACCGTGCAGTACTGTCCAAAGGATTGTTGTCTTTGTCTTAGTTTTGAGAAGTTCTATCACATGGATAATCACAGAACATTTTTAATAGCACCAGATGTCCGTGCACTTACACTCCCTAATTCCATCTGTGGGTCAGCGAGGTTCACGTCTTAAAAGCAGAAACCTAAATAAAAAGGCTAAGTGTTCAGGGAAGCAGCAGTTCTGCAGAAGAACTGGAGGACATGCTCTTTGCTATGAGCAGCACACAGCAGCAGTGAGGGAGGTCCCTGGGCTTCCCCGGCTGCAGCAGGAGGAGCTGGGGGACAGCTCTCCTCGCTTCCCACCACTGCTCTGTGACTGCTGGTGGTACACAGCCACTTCCCAACAGAAAGGCCACAGTGCTTTTGGTTTAAAAGCATTGATTTGAGATAATAATAATCCCCGATTGATCCTGACTGGATTTGGAATAATAACCTTGGAGAAAAAGGGCCTTTATCGTGTCCTAACAAGGAGTTAAAACTTTTAACACCACCTCCCTAAGTCCAGATTTAAACTCAGCAAAGTACATATTTTAATATCTGGGGAAAAAAGCAAGTATTTAATTTCTTGAAGTTGGTCCAGCAAATTTATATAAATCCTTAAATCAGAGATTGACTGGTAATTATAGCCTCTTGTGGTAATCTCCTAATGGTTTGGGATGAATTTCTCATAATCCTTTAATATGGTGCAAGAGTTGATAGGACTTGGAGAAAATTTCTTTCAGATTAGGGTTAAAACCCTTTATTTATAAATCTGTAGCTGTGACTGTATATAAATAAGACAAGAATTTGTGAAAGACGGGTCTGTCTCCTTTACAGACCAAAACCAGAGATGTCAAATGGAAAGAGATGTAACATAGGTCTCCTGATTTCTATTTGTTCAAGCTCATAGCTGTAGCTTTATTTTTCTGTAGTCCTTTTCTCACTGTAACATCTCAATATTCTGAAGACTCAAATTCAAGGAACCATGCATTTATTTGAAATGGCAAAACTGGTTATTCTTAAAATGTCAGCATGCAATTACACATGTACAATCCTACACCCAGGCCGCTAGTGTGATCCCTGTATCCTTACCTACCTACTGAAAGAAAACTTTGTGAAATTTCAGCCTAGGAAAGAGCATTTCTGTCAGTTGTTCAGTCATCCAAAACCCACTAAAATGCATTGGTTCCCTTTCCCTGGGGAAGACAAGTTTCAGCCATGAGTAAAATTTTCAAGCAGTGGTGTTTTTTTTCCCCGTCTCTCCAACTCATCTCTGACCTAATGCTCCTTACAGGGGAAGAAGATGAATGTTGCTACTTTCAGGACTTGAAGCTTCTTTGCAATTCTTTGCAACCTGGCATCCCAATCTCTTAGCACTGATGTTTGTCTTCCAATGAAGCAGTATCTAAATTGGCTGTGCTTCTGTAACACCTTGTGTCACTGCGCATCATGATATACTGAGCTCCTACATTCCATGCGGCATTTTAAAATTTAGCAATTTTCCAGCTGAGGTAGGGAAAGGAATCTTGCAGTATTTCATCATGTAACTGTAAACATAGTTGAATAATATGGAACCTAAAGAGCCTTTCAAGCTGTCTCACCATTGTTAGTGTCATTAAATATTTAAAACCACCTTACATTCGCTTATGCATTAAAATTGCAATAGAAGCAACCAGAAATTTTGCTATTCAGTTTCACAGCAGAACAAAACAAACCCCCGTTTCCAAGCCTTTTCAATGACAGGTGCTCAGGTTTTCTTCTCATTGTCTCCGGGAGTTGATTTGGTTCAGAAAATTTAAGACACGGCTTTTTGTTTTCAGGAGTGGTGTTTTGTTTTTTTTGTTTTAATATGCATAAATGAAGGAAGAGGGTAGTTCTTTCTAGCCACTGTGTGTGCAGTGTTGATTAACCATTGTTTAGATTCTGTAAGAGTTCTGAAAATGTTCTTCATTGGGTTCTTTTATTCAGTTTAGCTGCTCTCTCTAAAGCAGCCAGAGAAGGTGGTCAATTTCCTGTGGTCCTCCTCCTGGGATTTCCGAGCTGCCAGGCTGTTAATTAAATCCCTGATGCTGCAGGACAGGCCACAGCCGGGACAAGGCTGTGCTGTGCCTCATGAAGGTGGTGGCGTCCTCAGTTCCTTGTTGGCTGCAGGAGGCTCTCGAAGCTCTCACTTCAGTCTGTCCACTTCACCTGTGAAGATCTGCTTGTGCCCCGCGTGTGTTGTAAAGGGGTTTGTTCTCAACAGCTTGTCCCGGTCCCTTACCAGTTTCTGAGCCTGTTCATGTGCCTCTCAATAACTTATCTCTGAAGTCCTGGTTGTCAAATATTCCTTTGGTGTGTCTCCTGGCCATTTCTCTTGCTGTGCTCAGTGTCCCCACAGCTGCCTGTGTAACTCACTGGGGATGTGAATCCCAAAGCAGCAGCTCCCGTATGAAGAAACCCCAGCACCTCTGACCTGAGTGCTGATGCCCCTAGCAGCACGGGGCTTTTCTGGTCGTCTTCCCCTTCCCCATTGGCAGCACCAAGACCATTTAGAGATAGGGTCCCCTGCTGTCCTTCTCAGACAGGGTGTTCCTTTGGTCTCGGTATGGATTTCTTCCAAACCCTGACTGCGTTTACCTCAGCAGTGTGATTTATAGCTGTTGGCAACTCAAGCTGTGCTTCCT